AATTTGAGTATTGATTTGCAACTATGAGTAGTGTTTCATGACCTGTTATTATGCACATGAGGAGGACGAAGGCGTTCATTCTTTTGGGTAGCCTTCAGAGTATTAGATACATTTGTTCCCTTCTTGTTACCCATGTTGTTTCTTGTGTCTTTTTATTGTTTATTTAGCCACATTACAAGCCTATATGAGCCTGACAGGGTAAAGTCGTATCCCCTAATCAAAAGTAATACCTAAATCCTCTAACTAAAGTAGATAGGGAAGTAGGGTCGATCTCCACAGGGAAACAAGTCTTTTTACTCCTAATTAATTATTATAATCTAATTAAGTAACCAATATTTATAATTAAGTAAGAAACTAAACTACTAAGGTTGAGAATAGGAAGATAACAATATATGAAAGGATATAGGGCATAGGTTCACGAATAAATAACACTTCAGGGTAAAACATAGTAATCAATCATTGACATTGCATAAATAATATGATTAACAGGCTCTCGCAATTTATTAATCAACATAGATCTAACAGGCTCTGGCAATTTACTAGATCTAAGTTCTTATTGAAAATAGCCTTTAATATCAAATTAACATCTGCTCGATTCATCAATTTAATATTGCTATACTTTTACAAGCCGCAATTGTAAAACATTAAAACAATCCAATAAGAAATTATCATGCAATACCAATAATCAATAATAGTCAATCATCAATGCATCAATTAACCAGATTGTAAAGGGCTCTCGCTACGTATTACAATCACACAATTAATTTACCGGTATTAAATCTCATCTCTCGAATCTTGACTTAACCATTTATAAATTAACTTGCCTATTGAAACTAGACCTAAACATTAATTCTCATCTCTCGATTCTTGAATCAATATTGCCAAACTCATGCATAAAAGATAGGCCTAATCTAGTCACAGAGCATTAAATCAATCAATAGGAAATTAATCTAGCACTGATAATCAACAACAATAATTTACCCCTTCATATTATTTATTAGATCCCCATAAACCCTAGAAATTAAACTACTCACACATATTAAAAATTAAACTAATCAAAGTAATAAAATAAATCATGATGAAAGGAATAAAATAAATAACTAAGATTAAGGGAAGAGAAATCGTTACCAAAATAAATCTGGAATTAATGAAAGAATTAAGAACAAAAGTTTAGAGAGAGATTAAGGGAGAGAGAACTAAGTAGAGAGAGAAAATCTAAGAAAGAAGAGATACTAAAATCGTATTACGTAGGAGTATTTATACTCCGTACAAAAATCCTAAACTAAAACAAATTAAAACGACGCTAATCATCTCCTAAAAATACACGCGCCCGATCGGGCGAGGCACCGCCCGATCGGGCGCGCCTTTTTGACTCTAACACTAATCTCGCGCCCGGCCGGGCGCGTCACCGGGCGCCAGACCAAGCTTCTCCCGCCCGGCCGGCCGCGCCTCCGGGCGCCAGCCTTTTTGGCCGGGCGGCTCATTTGGGCCAATATTTGGACTTTGATTGGGCTCCAATTCTTCGGGCCAATCTGGGTTTCCTCTTTGGGTCTTGAATACTCGGTCCAAATGCCCCGATATCACCTATACCGAGCCCTTAATCACCGGTTCGATGGCTCTAACCGGCCCTGGGCTATAAAATCTAGTCGTGTTTCTCCAATGCTCGTGATTGCTCCAAAATATCTCGAGAAAATACTCCAAAAGCATAAATCCCTGCAAAAGTCAACCAAATCTACGAAAACACTAGAAAACACCAATTAGTAATAAAAGTGGCTCTAAAGAGTCAAAAACACTACTAATTATGACCGAGGGATGGGGTAAAATACTATATAAAATAGACACATTAGAGCCCCATTGGTTACTAGTCCCAAGCTTGGCTTGGGGGAGCTATTAGTTGGTGAGGTGAGGGAGTTGTGGTGTGCACATTATTTTCACAATGTGGGAATAAAATAAGAGTGATTGTTCTTTGATTTTTTTATTGGAAAATATTGATATGTTGTGTTTCAAAGTTAAAATTTCCAATATGAGTTAAAAAGAGAAAAAAAAAAAAAGGAGCAAAAGAAAAAAAAATAATGCTCAAGTATTCTATTTGAAGGTTGTTCAAGAAAAAAAAAGAAAAAAAATTCAAGTTTGAAAAAAAAAGAAAAAAAAAGAATGAGTTCAAGGTTTGTTTTTCACTCAAAGTTCTACATTATCATATTTTTATGAGTGATTATTGTGAGTGTTGGGATTGTTTATGATGATTAGAGTTGTATTTGGTGTTGGAGTTGGTTATGTTGATGGAGATGTATGATCATCATTATTTTGATCATGGGTTTATTAGGTTTTGTCTCCCTTAATGCATATCTTTTCTCTCACATAATCCCAAATCTATCCTACCTTTACCCCAGCCTTACATTACAAGCTTAAAAGACCTTTCGACCTTGTGCGTAGAAGTTATGTAAATGTGAAAGTGTTGTTTATCATTGCAAGTTATGACTTGGCATATTTCGAGTCGACTAGTAGGATGAGCGTTCATTGTTTTTATACACACGAGAGTGTGAGTTGGGAGGGCATTGTTCACATTAAAGGGGTTGGTTGGGGAGCGATCGAGTACATCCTTTACTCGCCACATAAATGAGAATTGAGTGTGTGAGTACTAGTCTTGAATTCTATATGCTCTTGTGGTTTGCTCTACTTGACAATTGTTGGGGAGGAAAGGTGATTAGATGAATAAGATTGATTGATGTTGAAGCGTGTTCATTAGATTTGCCTTGAATCGTTGGTTTTTGATTTGATGATTGGGGTGAAGTATGTTTTATATGTTCATTGATGAGCTCTTTTCTTAGGGACAAGCAAAGGTTTGGCTTGGGGGAGTTTGATATGTCCATTTTATATAGTGTTTTACCCCGTCCCTTGGTCGTTATTAGTAGTGTTTTTGGCTCTTTCGGGCCACTTTTATTACTAATTTGTGTGTTCTAGTATTTTCGTAGTTTTAGTTGTATTTTACAGGAAATTGCACTCTTGGAGCATTTTCCCGGGCTTTATGGATCAACTACGGAAGCTAGAAGGACACGACCACTTTTGGAGCCCAGGATCGGTGAGAGCCAGTGATTAAGGGCTCGGTAATTGAGATCCCGAGGCATTTGGACCAAGTATTCGAGACCCAAGAGGAAATCCAGATTGGGCTGAGAAATCTAACCCAATCGAAGTCCAAGCCTCAAGAGGAGCAAAGACCCGATCGGGCAACCTCTAGCCCGATCGGGCGCGGCAAACCATAGTGTTGTGCATGCTAAGGCGCGCCCGATCGTGCGAGCATCTAGCACGATCGGGCAATGCTGCTGGGTAGGAACGCGAAGAAAAAGGTTTGCCCGATAGGGCGCGCGTTTTTAGAAGACCTGATTAAGTTAGTTTTAATTCTTATTTTAGAAAACGTTTAAATACGATTTTGTGCGGAATTATTAGATTACCTTCTTTCTTAGACTTTCTCTCTCTACTTAGTATTTTTCTCTCTCTTAAATTCTCTCTCAACTTTTGTTCTTAATTCTTCCTTTAATTCCAGATTTATTTTTGGTAACAATTTCTTCCTCTTTAATTTCAGTTATTTTACTTGTTTTCTTGATTATGCTTTTATTTATTTACTTGAGTAGTTTAGTCATGATGATTTGTGAGTAGTTTAATTTCTAGGGTTTATGGGGATCTAATAAATGATATGAAGGGGTAATTTTGTGTTTGTTAATTATCAACGCTTGGTTGATTTCCTATTGATTGATTAAATGCTATGCAATTAGGTTTGGCCAGATTTAATTGTATGAGTTTAGCAATATTAATTCGAGATTCGACAGATGAGAATTGATATTTAGGCTTAGTTTCAATAGGCGGATTAATTTATAAATGGTTAAGTCGAGATTCGACAGATGAGATTTAATACCGGTAAATTAACTCTGTGATTATAATACATAGCGAAAGCCCTTTATAATCTGATTAACCAATGCTTGATGATTGCTTATTATGATTTGCCCTGGAATATTGTTTATTAGTGGAACCTTTGCCTTAGGCTTTTTAATATTTGATTTTCTCCCTACTTTATTTCTTTCGACCTTATTCTCCGTAGTTTAGATTTTATTCATAAAAATATTGGTTACTTAAATAATTTAGATTATAATAATTAATTAGAAGTGAAAAGACATGTTTCCCTGTGGAGTTCGACCCTACTTCCCTATCTACTTTAGTTAGAGGATTTAGGTAATTATTTTTTATTAGGGGATACGACTTTACCCTGTCAAAAATTAGTTAAAAAAAAACCTTTAAAAAGCATCATTCTGCGGAAAAAAAAACCTTTTCAAAGCTTTTGGACAAAAGAAAATCCAATTTATAGCTTTTTTGCAAAAGAAAACCCGATTATAATTTTTTTTTTGTTAAAGACAAACCTAGTACTTCTAATTCACTTGATTAACTTGTAATTTCTTTTGATTAGCCTCTAAATATAACATAACCATTTAATTATTTAACTAGTTCAATACCCGTGCGTTGCACGACTTATAATATTAAATAAGATTAACTAATTAATATGCGAAATTAATCCAACTTATGAGTAATAAAAATATGAAACAAAACTATCATCAACTGTATAGTGTGAATGATATGTTGTTGTAGAAGTGTTTTTGTTAAAACTTCTTGCTCCCTTATCATATAAGTAATCAAGCAATAAATAATTGTTTTATATGAAGAAAAAAATAACACAAACAAATCTATTTAAAGTCCAGCCCAACACATACAATGTTTGAATAAAAATTAAATTATTTGACTCTAACCACAAAAATCTAATTAAAGTACTTAATGCCTTTCAATCTCTACCTACTTCGTTCATTAGTTGGGCATTAATAAAAGTCCATGAATTGTAGCACTGCAATGTAAAAATTGATTACAAAAGTTAGAGAGTTTAACAATGTAGATTTAAAACAATGTTAGCAAATGATGAATATTAATTTATATATTAATTAGTGTTGAGTAATACCTTCTCATGGCAAATTTTGAAATACTTCTTTGTATACTACATTGTTTGTAGTGTTAGCAATATTTCCGTCCTTATCACATATTAGAACCTTCAAACCTTTCTTGTTTGTAACTTTGGAGATTGCAACATAAAGCTGACCATGACTAAAAACCGGTCTTGGTAGATATAAACCAACATGTGAGAGTGATTGACCTTGGCTTTTATTTATTGTCATAGCAAAACAAACTACCAATGGAAATTTTCTACGCTGAAGCTTGATTGGCAAAGTGGTAGTATCCGATGGGCTTAGGACCATTCTAGGAATGAACACTTTATGCCCAATGTTACTACTTGAAATTATTTTGGCTTCAACAACATACTTTCCTAGCTGAGTTATCAACAATCGGGTACCATTACATAAGCAAGAAGACTGATCAATATTTCTGAGAAGCATGACAGGAACACCAACCTTCAATATTAGCCGGTGATTTGGCAAACCGGAGCATCTAATGGTGTTTAGGAACTCGGGTGGATAAAAGTCTTCAATTCCCATGGTTGTATCTGCTTGACATATGCTGTCAGAACTCAAGTACTCTATTTCTTCACCTAGCATTAAAGCTAGCAAGTAATAGTCAATAAAAATCTTATATATTAAATTAAGAAGTAATCATTTATAAGCAAGTAATAATTTAAACTTTATTTTCACCTAGCATTAAAGATAACATATAATCATTTATAGCTTCAACATTTTCGTGAGTTGGTGCTAAAATTGCTCTATCTAGAAAGTATTTTGGATCCCACAAATTCTGAAGAATAGATGGATAAGTACTATCGACAATTGCTTCGATCGAATTTGTTGCTTCCTTTATCAGATTGTCATCAGGAATTTCTATAGTACCTTCACCATCATTTGGCTCTCCTACCGTACCATCTCCAATTTTTAATATCCACTCTGAAAATTCTCTTATATCTGTATTACTTGAATTTGATCATCCTACTTGAAGCCTCATATTTCTTGTCAATTTTAGGACCTCACAAAAATTCCACAAATAAGATGAATTGATTGTTGCAAACACAATGTCTTGTCTACTTCCCTTCGAGATAACTGGAAGGATTTGTTGAAATTCTCCTCCAAAGACAACTACCTTACCCCCAAATGGTTGTTCTGAAGGCCTTAAAACATCTCTTAAACTTTTGTCTAGTGCTTCAAAACATAATTTATTTACCATAGGAGCTTCATCCCAAATGATAAGCTTTGTCTTTTTTAAAAGCTCCGCCAAATCACTTCCCAATTTTATATTGCATGTTGAGTCTTCCGTTACATTCAAAGGTATTTTAAACCTAGAGTGAGTTGTTCTTCCTCGGGGAAGGAGAAGTAATGCAATTCCACTTGAAACAACAGGGAGCACAATTTCTCCTTTGGATCTTATAGCAGCGCATAGAGTTCTCCAAATGAAAGTTTTACCCGTGCCACCATAGCCATATATGAAGAAAACACCTCCCTCATCTTTTGAAACCGCACTCATGATTTTATTGTACACCTCTTTCTGCTCATCGGTAAGACTTGAACAAAGGGCCTCATGTTCTTGTTGTAATGATGATTTATCATACTGCAACTCATCTTGAATCAACTTGTTTCTTCCTTCTAACATGAGCATATCATCTGGAAAAGGTATCATGGGATATTTTCGAAGTGTGCTACCATTACTTTGCAAAAAAATTTCTATTTCAGATAAAGTGAAATTCTTTAGCTGATCATCTGTTAACTGCAAATCTATAATATAGTTGAAATTATGTCAATGATTTGCATTAAAGCTTATTGTAAGTATATTATTCTATTAAATGATTAAGTGAACAATCATAATGTGAAAATTGTGAGGTACGTAGAACATAATTATGTATACTCAATTATGTCCAAATGCATCAAGGAAATTTTCATGGATCGATCCTTCTCACAGTTAACATGGCCTAATATATTACAAAAAACTAAAAAAGTAAGTAGTGTAGATATTTATAATTGCATTCACATGCATGAAAATAAAGAATAACATATGAAAACCAAAAGGATATAACGTAAAGTATGTAAAATAAAAAAATAAAAAATCTTTTTTTTTAATCAAAATTGAGTTAGTTAGATGTCAAAAAAAAAAAAAAAAAAAAGGTTTCAAAAAAAAAGGAAAAAAAAAAAGAACAATATTGAGTTAGTTACGTAAGTCATGGTAATTTGCATTCACATGATCACATCATATTAAATATCTTATAAGAAATAGCAGTAATATTATATGTTAGAATATATTGATAAGTATCAACGTATTCTTATTGTATATTAGTTATAGTTATATATGCTTAGTGTATATTTGTCTTCCATTAATTGTAGGAAATTAGGCCTACTTTATAGCTTACCATACGTAGCTTACAGTGTATATAATGCATTTGATAGGGTTGTTAATATTTGAGGAATTATCTTCTTTTATTATAAACATAATATTCTAGGGAGAACGAATGAGGAACCTAATTAAGATCTAAAATATCTTACAGATTAAGATAATATTCTTTAAAAAAAAGGATATTCAAAGTATACCATTCTAATATTATATATAGGAAATTTACTTATGGTAATTTGCATTTGATTATATATATAATAGCCTTAGAAATAAGAAATATTCTATACATAAAATTGGGAAATAAATTAAGGAATTTATAAAAAAACTAGTTTACCTTAAGAAGTAAGATAATATATATTCTACAAAATATCTTAGTATACTACTTTTTTCTTTTGATGGGTACTATCTTACCATAGTAACTTACATGCTAGATGCTATGTTGTGTGTGTGTGGGGTTTTTTTTTAGTATGATATTAAAAAAAAAAAAATTGATTCCATGAGAATTGCATTACAAGTTAGAGAATATATACATTGTACAAGTTATAAGCATAGAGTTACAGCTAGTGGAACGACATATGTTTATAGTATACAAAGACCCACCTAATAAATAATCCAAATCTAACAGCTTAAGAAATAACATATCAAGGGAATTACAATGGTCACCTATATTGGCTATATATTATGAATGAAGTATCAAAAAAATGAAAAACAATCAAATCAATTCATATATATAGCTTAATCTTAATTACAAATTAACTATTAAACTTAAATTTAATCTCAAGTATTGACAAACAAATATTTGCTTACCTTAAATCTTAATTACAAACAAGTATTGACAAACAAAATTAAATTGGTCTTCTTAGTCTAGTATGTAGTTGACATACAATACATACGAAATGATATATCAATGCTTGAATAAATCAAGCAGTGGTTAGAAAGATTGTTACTATAAACTAATGATGATTGATGACATATGATTACAAACTATAAATATACTATTTGAGATTTTTTTACTATTCATATGTCATCATTGATTTAAATTTTTACCAATATATTATATATAAATATGATCATATAATATGTTGTTGGATTTGTCATAATATCTACTTTTATAAATTAATTTTTTCATAAAGTTTACAACTCTCAAAAAAAAATTGATGTTCAAAGTTGTGTCTCGACAAATGTGCAAATTTTACTCTAACTTATAATTAAAAAAACAGAGGAAGTATATTTGAAAAATAATAACTTTTAGGAAAATTAGTTAAAAAAAACCTTTAAAAAGTATCATTTTACGGAAAAAAAAAACCTTTTCAAAGCTTTTGGACAAAAGAAAATCCAATTTATAGCTTTTTTGCAAAAGAAAACCCGATTATAATTTTTTTTTGTTAAAGACAACTAGTACTTCTAATTCACTTGATTAACTTGTAATTTCTTTTGATTAGCCTCTAAATATAACATAACCATTTAATTATTTAATTAATTTATAAATTAAAACAAAAACCAAAAACCACCACCCCACCACCAACAAGCCACCTCTTCCCTTTCCCCCTCCCCTAGCAGCACCGCCTGACCCCCCATCTACAACCCCACAACCACCAATCCTCACCTGACCACCATACGCCCGCCTAACTCCCTAAAATTGACCACCCAGCCACCATGAAACCCCTAAAAATTAACCATCTCGAAATCCCCAAAAATCAATCACCGCAAAACCCAATCATTACTCCATTTGCACCATTGTCTTTCATCGAAATATCTAATTGGTTGTTGTTAATTGATATCAAATCACACCCATTCCCACCACAATAGCCGCCGCATTCGCCACTTTCAATCAGTCGTGTAGGTGGTCGACTTTTGGGGATTGGTAGGATTTTTGGAATAGTGGTTAGGTCGATTTTGGGGTTTTGGGGTGGAAGGGCAGCTTTGTGGGAATCTGGTAGAAAATAAAATTGTGTGGAAGCTTGAGAAATTGTCCATTCATGGCAGAAATTTATCTTCCATTTTTTTGTAAAATTCTCTCTCCTTGCAGCAGTGGTTTTCGTAACTGAGGTGGTGGATAAGTGGGTTGAAAGGGGTTAAAGTCTAGGGAAGAGAGTTAACTGACGATAGAGGTGGGTTTTCAGGGTGAGGGTTCAAAGGTGACGGTCAATTTGGGGAGGGGGTTGCTGCCGAGGGAAGGGGAAATGGAGGGGGTAGCTAGCTGGTGGTGGAGGTGGTGGTTTTTGTTTTTTATTCTCATTTATAAATTAATTTAATTATTATATGGTTAAGTGAGTAATAGAAGGTAATTAGAAAAAAAATAGAAGTTAATTAAGTGAATAAGAGGTACGTTAGGTTTTAACAAAAAAAAAAAAAAATTAACTTTGGGTTTTTTTTTATACGATATAACATTTAATATTTTTTTTTTATTTTAATTTTATTATTACAAAATGGTGCATTGAAAAGGTTTTTTTTTTTATACAAATTTTCCTAACTTTTATAGTATATGTTTATGCTAAATTTTGTCAAGTGGGATTGAATAACAAAATCTAGGTTACGAATTAACTAAATAAAATCTTAAAAGAAGATAATGCAAAAATAAAAGGATGACACAAGAATTGGTGACGAGGAAAATCCAAAGAAGGTAAAAACCGAAGGTAGAATAAGGATCTACCAAACTTTCACTATGTAAAATATTTTTTTTTTTTTTTTACAATCAAGAAAACAGAGAAGACTCATATGCCCTTTCTTGCTGTAACTGCAAGTTTATGGGCTTCAAAGACTCTACTTCTATTTACTTTCCTAATCGCAAAACTTTGGAATGAGAGAGCATATTTTTTAACTTCTTCTACAATTTGCTTGATCTCCCTTCTGGCTTTAGTATTATCCGAGACTGCTTGGGCCAACTCCATAGAATCAGTAAGCATCACAACGCTGTCCCTTTCTAAATTCGAGTTTTGTAGAGCCATTAGTGCCACTTTAGCCTCAGCTTGACAGGGGGAGGTAGCAAAAACGGGACTTTTGCCCCTATCAGTTACCTCTATCTTTAATTACCCACCCAACAGCTGCTCTCCATGCCTTGCTAAGCTTGCTATCCACTTTCTTCCAAGCACCATCAATGATGATAGTGTACCTCTGGTTTGCTGGTTGGTCATTGGCTTGGTTTGCACATGAACTCTGGTGTCTGCCCTCAGCTTCCCTGGTGGCTGCCATTCGACCCCTTTGTCCATCAGTTTTAGTCCCTGAGTCCCATCTCTGCTTCCAATGCTGCGTCAATCTGATAATACTATGCGGGGAGACTAAGGAATTATTGAAGCTGATGTTATTTCTTGACAACTAGATACTCCAGAGAGTACTCACGAATTCCATGGTTGAATGATTTTGATCGTCATCCGTTGAAAGCAAATAAAATAAGAAGTTAGACACCCAAGTATTTATGTCAAGATTCCTTCCTATTTCTGAATTGATGCCCAGATTGCTGCATTTCCAGATTCTTGTAGTCACTTCACACTCCCTGAACAGGTGGCTAGTGGTCTCTTCTTCCGCGTTGCATAGTTTGCATTTTGTGTCAATGTCAATGCCTCTTTTCTTTAGGTTACTCAACGTTGGCAGAGCATTGTTCTTCAATTTCCAGATGAAAATCTTGTGCTTAGGCCAAATTTTCGATTTCCACCATATTTTCCAGAAGCTAGAAGTCGGGGCTCCATTGTTATTGCTACCCTGTGCTTGCCAATATCCCGATCTTAAAGAAATGCCCTGTACTCGAAGGACCCCAATCCCAACCATCAGATTGCAGTTGGTTACCGGGGTGAATAGCAAGGATATCCTTTGCTATAACGGGGCTAAACCATTTCCATACTAAACCCACCTTCCATTTGCCCTGCTCGTCAAGCAAATCACTGATAAGAACTGGTTTTTGCACTGTGGAAGTAAGCTGACTGTCCTTGCATTTGATAATTTTATCAGTCACCCACCAGTCATGCTCCACCTTTATGCTCTTACCATTAGCTATGGTTCTTCTAAGGCCACCTCGCAAGTGATAAATACTCTTGAATATGCTTCTAGCACCCCAAGACATTGAGGTCTTCATCTCACCTCTTCGTCCTCTGTCAAACCGATCATCCTTGTACTTTGCTTTGAATATCTTTGCTCTAACCCGCAACTATGTAATATATTAATTGGAAAGGTTACAATGTATGCTCAATGTATTTTCGCAGCTAGGTTTCAATGTGTTTCTCATGGACGAAACTTCTTCCTCTTATAGATGATGAATAGGGTTGAATGTAGCTGTAGTAGAGTGATAAGTTGCCTTCCCCAGTATTTGAAGTTATCCTTTTAATTGCTAACCCTCAACTCAGCCCACTAACGATTGTATTTGGATGGCTAAAGACCAAGTCTTCAATGCTTATCTCGTTCTGGAAAAGAGGGAAGCTGTTTCTTGAGTTTCGTCCATCGAAGCTGGACTCCTTTCGTAGAAGCTTACTCTCCCGTCTTTGAACAATGGCTTACTTTCATTGACTTTGACTTATGAAAATTTACCCATAAGAGTGTAAATTGTGAGGAATTTTAAAGGGAGGAATGTTAGACATTTAGAAATGCATAACAAAGGGTATTCATGTAATTATGCATATGTACAAACGAATAAATATTCTGATATCATTGGATGATCAAATGGTACCATTGAATATACAGTGATACTATATATGCACATAATGGTATTATATATGCATTTAGCTATACTAAATTTATGCGTAAATAGTACCACTGAGGATTCAATCAGCATGTGGTCCACCATCACGTGATACAATCCGATCAAAAAATAGGTGTGGTCCACCAACATGCCTCTCTCTTCCTATCTCTCTCCTCTTTTCACTCTCTACCATGTGTTTTTATAATATTTTAATCAATGTTATGCATTAGTATATGCATAACTTTCCTCCATTTTTAGTTCCTCATAAATTGTAACTTTAATTACTTTGTAAATTAGCTCGTCTTACAATAAATTCTCCCACACCTGCTATTTTGAGAATTTGTGTAACTTCATTAAATCTGTTACTCAAATTGATAAATTGGAGCTCCTTTATTTTGTTGCGGTCTGTTAGTTAAAATAATAACCCCGTCTAACCCTGCGTCGTGGATTCCTCCTATTGTACATTTGTACATGTTTCTCGGAGGTAAATCGAACAAACGTGAAAGAGAATTCAAGATTTGCTGAGTTCAACTTTCCGAATTCTGCCAAATCGCCAACCCTCATCATAAAATTCTTCCTAATCCTCGAGAAATTCAAATTGCCAGCTAGAATTTTCTATGATTGATTGAGATCGCCTGAAATTCACGAAAATTGAAGTTTGAGCTCATCTTTATCTATTAGATTACATTGATTTTGATTCTAAGGCAAAAATGATGGTGGAAGACCTCGGTGTCGAAGCCCGAGAAGCGGCGGTGCGCGAGGTTGCCAAGCTTTTGCCTGTTCCTGAGCTTCTTCAATCCATTTCTTCGATTAAGGCTGATTACATTTCGCGTCAGCAGGTAAATTAATCTTTTTTTTTTTTTTTTTTTTTTTTTCTGTTTTTGTTTTGTTCTTTTAGATTTGATGCTTTTTAATTATTGCTTTATATACTGCAATTGTGCGCTTATAATTCTTAAGTAGGAGTGGAATTTGTTCTTGGTGATGTGGGATTAAGTTTTAGCTAGAATTGTACTCTTTTGTTCGAAATTAATAGTCGTGTTGATAGTGAAATTTGAATCGGAATTCAGTAATGTGGATGTTAGGGAGTTGTTAATTAGCGGTGTTGCAAATTGATGATGAACTCATACTATTGTGGATTGATAGGTTGAAAACATGTTTGGATTGGAGGGTTTACAACCCTTTATTTGTACAATTAGTAATCACTTTTGCCGATTTCCTAATGAAGATAATGTTTCGCCTTTATTGAATCTTCATACCCGTGTTCCATGCTGCCGAAAAATGGCTGTGTTATTGGATACTTAAAGTTGCTGTTCGTTAGAATTTGAACATTATTATGCTATAGCATCTTTGGGATTAATGCTGTATGAATTAATTATCATTCAGGCAGGACATGGATTGACGTGGTGGAGAGTTATGTTGACTGGCATATGTTATTCTAGACGACTACTTTTCAGGATGCCAATGGACCTCTTAACCTGAGAAACTTCAAATATGAGGAAACATGGTTCTACTTAAGTATAGATAAAATGATTTATGAAGTTTGAGATGCCAGAAAACCTAGATATTCTTTTCCTTGCACTCGTACTACGAATGATGCCTTGAAATTTTTTTAATTATTCAGTTTTTCAGTGAAATCAAGTGAGCTTATCATCCATAAATTGAACTAAAGCATATTTACCGTTAATTGCACTGTATCTTATGGCCTCAAATATTTGTGTGTTATTTTCAACTTACCAACCTAGAACTGAATTAGAAAATGTATTTTTGTTAAGGGTTAGGTAAAATTTTATAACTTTCTTAGTTTGTCTTTGACCTTGATGGGATTTAGACTAGGTGCTGTAATCATGTTTGACTCAAACAAGATTGGCCTTGGAACTCCACAATTATGCTAGGATTTTCATTTTCTTGTTTTTCTTTTTATTCCTTAGCAAGTTAAGCCTATGTATTGATCGATGTATATCTGCAGTTGAATGGCAGTTTAATGGTTTAAAACTTTATTGTTTGGAGATTGAGCTGGTAAATTTACCATAGCATTGAGCTGATGATTTTGGGATTGTTTCGACAAAATTTTGGCAGCCTGAACTTTATTAGACCGCAATGGGGACCTCTATGGCTACTCTTCCACTTTCTAACTTCACTAGAGCCTACCGTTATCCATTTTCAGCATACTTTGACTAAGCATGGTTGCATGGGTAAATTGCCTACATGAATTCACTCTAGAATGTGGAATGACGCTGCATTGGAGCGTGAATTCACTTGATATTGAAGGGACAATTTGTTTGGATTTGCCAATGAATCTTAAAAGAAGATTTATAAGCTTTGCATGGCTTTAACAAACATTGATAATTGAAGGGACATAAAACATGCTAAGGTTTCCTATCCAACTACTATCGAAGGTTTTTTTTTTGGTTGACAATGTTGACACAACTCAAAGTGGATGGAGTTGGTCTCTTTGGTATTTAGGTGATTATTGATAGAGTATTATGCAATTTTTTTTTTGTTTTTTTTTTTTGTGGATTATATTAGTTAACATGACTACTTGGTAGTTTGTACTTCTTCCATCCTTTTGGATACGAGACGCACACCTTTTGGATACGAGACGCACCGCAAGTGTCAAAACACTGTAAAATCACTCTATAGCAATATATAAGCTTTATATATTCAAAATAACATATTATTAATGCATAAAATAGAGAAAGGACCACAAGATACCGCCAAAGGCGGTAATGGCATAAAAGTCTTCAATTAAGAGGTCTAAGACACAATTCACACACTCAACATAAAATGAATATGTAAAATAAGCAGAGAGAAAAGCAAATATAGTAGTGCTTCAAGCTTGCTACTTGGCATACTAAGATACTAGTAATCTATCTCATCAATGTCATAGCATCCTCTTCTTCTTGACTAATGTCCTCTTCCATAGTATATTATGGCAGTCCCTTGACCTGACTGCAAATTTCTATTGTTATGATCAGGCAAATGATGCTCAGCTTAGCACCATGGTTGCCGAACAGGTATTTTCAAGCTTGTAAATAGCTTCAATATTTTCCTAATATTTGTGTAGCGTTATTGTTGTTTGGTATCTTTCATTGCAAATCTGCCGACATTTGACCAATAATATGCCTTTTTGCAGGTTGAGCAGGCACAATCTGGACTTAAATCACTTTCCTTGTCAGAAAGAACAGTTAATAATCTTCGAGATAACTTTGTTTCCATCGAGAAGTAAGTTGTTTAAGCATAGCCTCACACTAACCTTAAAGCCTTCTTTTCTTATACATCTTGAGTTTTGGAGATTTGACCTTTTATCCACCTAATCCAAACCCATATGAATATATGATATTAAATCATGCTTTTCTTAGACATCATCTATCATTCCTATTCGAGAGAAGAAAGGGGTGGGTGTCTAGTATGATGGTAAGAGTTTGAACAAGGCGTAGAGATAGAGGTGTCGTTCCCTGGCTTCAATGATTAGCTGCTGGTTTGATAAAAATTATCTAGAAAGTACACCATAGGTTACTATCTAGTCTTTGATGGACTCTTGACTCTATTCTGTGTCAACTTAATATTCTTTTATACATCTGAAAATATGTTTGTAGGTCATTTGATATGGCTTACGAGCTATTTCATTGCTGAAAAAAAGATAAGAGTATTTAGTGGCATGAATGCTCAACAACTTGTGGTGTGAGGCTGAGAACAGCGGAAGTAGTTGTCCTGTTTTGGCTTGCTGGAAGAGTATGTTCATAAAATGGATTGGCCACTATTTAGGTTGCCAGTGAGCAACCTCATAATTTATTCTCAATGTGGATCGTTAGTGGTACAAATTTAAGTTGGTTAGTCTTATGGAAAGCTCTGCTACTAGCTTCTATTTTCTGTATATTGTAGACTAGTTGTTTTCTTAAAATATACTACCTCCGTTACAGTTATGTTCAACTTTGGGTGGAGGAACGGACTCCAATGCAAAACTTCTTAATGGTGCTTAACAAAAAGTAAGGGTATGTCATTAATAGTTAATCAAAATAAAAAATATAAAAAATTGAAAGAACCATACAACGTCCCGGCCACCGAAACCCATCGACAGAACCACCACCTCCACGAACACACACCAAAACCCATATCGACGACCACCCTCCAAAGCCCACCGACGGAACCACCAAAACCCACCCACCAGAACCCAGATCCACGATCACCCACCAAAACCCACACACCAAAAACGACCACCCACTGAAAACGATCACCCACTGAAACGACCAACCCACCTGAAACTAAACCCCCAACTCGAACCCAGAACCACGACCCACCCCAATTTGAACCCAAAACCACCTAAGAAACCGCCACACCCACCGAATACCCATCCAACCCAGTGACAACAGCCTACGTCGTCTTCTTGTTCGTCGTACCAGATCTAGAATGAGTTTGAAAGAGGAGAGAGAAAGGTAACGTAGAAGATGAAGAAGGTGAAAAATTAGGGTATGAATGTGGAAACTGGATGATTTTGAACTAATTTGGTTGATTTCAATGAGTTATTGGGCGAGATGAATTAAATTTGATAGAAGTAGTTAGATTAATTAGGTTAGATTAGTAATTAATTAATTATGTTTTTAAGAATGTAATTGATGTTATAAAGTTTTAAGTAACGGTATTTTTGTTTTTTTTGTTAATTTTTTTTTACTAAATATGGAAAAGTTTGGAAATGTTGCACATAATCTTTAGCGTCCATTTTTGGTAAAAGTTACAGATAACCATGAACGGAGGTAGTATTAGAATAACATAGGGCCCATTTTGTATTCTTGGGAATTGGGGTCGGCTAACATCAATCGTCATAAGGAATTGTCCAAAAAGGATAAAGAGCATAGCAAGATAATTGATTGAATAAAAGTTGGGTAAAAAAGAGGTGAGTAAAGTGAAAAAAAAAATAGAATTTACGAGAATTTTAAAGAGTGGCGAGGGATAAAAAGGAGAGGAAAAATGTGCGAGTAAAAAACAAGGTTTGAGAAAACCATAGCAAAGGAAATACGTAAAATTTGCAAAACACGAGTTGAGTAAGTAAATACTAAAATAGAATAAACAAAAAGTATATATATATATATGACACGTCTTCCACGTGAATTTTCTTCCTCCACTTCGCCTATCCAACACCATATTATCCTCAATCCCTAAAGCACTCATATCACTTTTAATCACCCTTTTCCAAGTTTGCTTAGGTTTCCCCCACCCCTTTTGATCCCTAACACTTTGCCACTCTTCAAGCCTCCTTACCGAAGCGGCGTGGCCTAACTTTGTCTCCCTTTTACGTGGCTAAACCACTTTAAGTGATTCTCCCTCATCTTGTATTCAATGTATATAACCCCTATTTTCTTCCTCTTTGACCCTTTCTTGTATGGCCACTCATCCATCGCAACATACACATCTCTGTCACATTCATTTTATGCACATGACGATACTTCATAACCAACATTCGGTACCATATAGCAATGCAAGCCTAATTGCCATTCAGTCCTTCGATCTATTAGGCATGCTAGGATCACATAAAAATTCCTTTTCTTCCAATTCAACCAACCTGCTTTGATCCTATGAGCTGCATCTCAATCTAATTCTCTATCCTTTTGAATAATAGATTCCAAATATCGGAAGACCTCATACAATATTCCATCCAATGCCTCCTTGTTTCTTACTATGCTAAACTTACATTCTAAATACTCTGTCTTACTTCTGCTCACCTTCAAGCCATGTGATTCCAAAGTCCGTTTCCACATTTCCAACTTAATTTCCACGCCTCCCTTTGTCTCATCAATCAACACAACATTGTCAACAAACATCATACACCATGGTATTGGTATATCATCTTGATTGAATTCGTCAATTCGTCCATGACTATGGCAAAAAGAAAAGGGAAAAAGAAAAGGGCTAAGTGTGGAACCTTGACGAACTCCAATTGTGATAGGGACTCTTCAGCTTCTGTTATAGACCAACTTCGACAGTCTGTAATAACAATAAATAAGCAAGAATATAAGAGGAAATCTTGTTGATTGATAAAAACTGATTAATGGGGGGTGACTCAATCTCATTAGTAACTTTAGGCTATCAATCTCACTAGTAGCTTTAGGCTTCGAGACTCTCAACAAGTGTTTTCTCTCAATTTCTGGATAACTTGTTATACTACTTCTTTTACTGCCTTTTTATACTCAAGCTCTATTATGAGGATCAAACCTACATTTAATTGCATTGGTCTTCTTCTGACAAAAGTATCACAAACTCAGAGAATTAGTCACCACTCTCACAAGTGCTTCATTAACTGCTTTTTTTCTGTACCCTCTTTTGGCTAATTTTGCTGTTCTGTTGCTTGTACTCCTGTCTCCTTGGCCTTGGTTTTCTTTCGAGTATAGACCCATATCGGTGGAAGGTCCGAATCAAGTGTTGGGTTACTTAGGTCAATGACATCTTCCCAACAGTAGTGCGCACTCTTGCACTAGCTCCCTCATACATGTCCTTAATAATGTCTATATATTTCTGCAAAATGCCTTTCCTTGTTAAACCCCATCAAAGTATCTCCCTTGGTCCGTTAACGTTGGCTTTCTCCAAATCAATAAATTCCACATGTAAATCATCCTTATCTCAATGAGTCTGTAAGCAATTCTTTATAAATTATCCATAAGAATATCCAAATTTTCGTATTCATAATGCACACCTGATCTATGAATTCTGAATGGTTCCTATCTCATTGTGTGAAAAATACGATCCTCATACCACTCAATAGGTCGGTGTACCTTCATCCGACATTTTTTCAGGAGTGATTGGGAATTATAATTTCTCAGAAGGTCCAACTTTTACAGTAACAATGTGTTTTGCTTAGCAATTGTAAAAGGTATGAAAGAAGAGAGAGAGAGGATGGTAGGCTGTAGTAATATTCCAAAATCCCCCCCCCCCTTTCTGGTCTCCCCCTTTAATTTCTCACATTGCAATATTCATGGCTCACTCAATTTGATTTTCTTGTTGATATCAGACTATGCCAAGAATGCCAAACATTGATAGATAATCATGATCAGATAAAACTCCTGAGCAATGTGAGGAATAACTTGAACAAGACTCTGAAGGTTGGATTCTCAATCGACCCAAGCTTGGTTACTCTGAAGAGATGTTGCTCTCGGTCAAATTTTACTATTATTGATTTGTAATGATTAATTTATTATTTTAAAAAATTTAATTAAATGAACCTAATGCAGGATATTGAGGGAATGATGTCCATATCTGATGAAGCAGCTGAGGCACGAGAATCACTAAGTGATGATAAAGAGCTTATCAACACATACGAGGCAAATCAAAATTTTGCATACTTCTCTCTTTTTAGGTGTTATGTTTTTCTCCCCTATTCTTAGCCCTGTTAATTATGGCAGAGATTGACTGCTCTAGATGGAAAAAGGAGATTTGCGTTAGCAGCTGTTGCATCACATAAAGAAGAGGTTGGAAGAATAAGGTAACCTTTGTTACATGGATGCTTGGTAATGTTTATTGGTGATTAAAGAAAAGTGATTATCAATCATCCCAAGCTGTTACTTGGTGATGATATGTTTTGTCTTGTGCTTATGTTTGTGTAATTATCTAATTTCTTACCATTTATACTCATATGACACATCCCATCACAATGGTTTCACCTAAAAAGCTATCAAGAAACTCAGGTTTGGCATATCTAATCAAATAGTTCCATTAGACATGGTGTCAACCACCACCTTCTTTAGGATGAAGCAAATACAAGCATTGGTAGTGAGGAACCTTAGGTGCTTAGATCTAGTGCCAGTAATTGTTCAAACTATTTAGAGACTCGAGAATCCTATTCTCAATTGGCTTATCTGTATGAGGACATTTGAATTTTTATTATATATTTGCTGTAGATCTTGATTCTGGAGTATTGTTTTTTTTTTATTTTTATTTTTTTTTTATTTTATGAATTTGGTTGTATAGTTAAAAGAGTAAGGTTTATTTTCACATATAGGATGAGTACCCTGTAAAACAAATTTCTCTTGTATGATTTCGGATCTAAGATGATTGAACTCTGCTCAAACAAGAAAGTGACCTCATATACTAAGTCATCTCAACTCAATAATTGACCAAGATTATACTGAAAACTGTGGGGTTTTTAGTTATTTTTTTTTCTTTGGCATTAATATGTTGATGTATTTGCTTTCGGTTTCCTTTATCATGTGATGCTTTCAAGACTTACAATATTGATTTTTACCCAGAGAATATTTTGAAGATGTAGATCGAACTTGGGAAACATTCGACAAGACCTTATGGGGTCATATTGGCAACTTCTATAAACTTTCTAAAGAAAGGTATGTGCATTTATTGTTTTTAAGAAGTAAAAATGGCGTTACTTTCTCCAGAAATTACTCTTCCTAGATTTTTATGATTCAAATGCAGACTGGTTATTTCAACGGTGTAGTTGAATTTTATTGATAAGAAAATGCATGCTCTTTCTTTCTTGGTTGCTTACACAAACACTTAGGGTGAAAAGAGGGGAGAAAGGGGCAGACACTAAGGGAAAAAAGTTGCCATCCTTAGTTTAGCTCTTTGTTGTTATTTGCTTGATATTTGTAACAAACATGGATGTGATTAATGAGCAACTGGTACATGAGAGTACTACCTTCTTGAAAGAAAACCAGGCAAAAAAAGGTGGACCATTTCAGTGATTTATTTTTAAAGTGTGAATGTATGATCAGCTATTGGGAATTGTAAATTGAATGCTTTGTTGTAGTCTGTAATATTCTTTAAGTTCTGATGAATATGTTACTGTGCACTTTCTGTATAGCTATTACTTATGACTTGTATTACTTAATGGTCATTCAAAGATTCAAGAGTTGAGAAGTTAACTAGGCGCGCCAGGTTAACCTTGATGGGACTTTATAAGTATTTAGAATAGTTAATGGGAACAGTTGTCTAATTCTTTATACACTTTCAATTAGAAATGTTTAAGGTAGGTTCACTAATTAAATTGATAAGTGAGGGTGGAAGATTTTGTATGGGTTTCAAAATTAAAACACACTTGTCTCTGATTTTTGTTTTTGCTTCAACTTGTCTTATGTAAATAAAATGCTTTTCGGATTGTGATATCAACCCTTATATTCATGTTTTGCCTCAGCTATTTTGTATTCCGAATGTGCTAACTGATACCTGCTATCTTCTTTGCAGTCCTCAAACTCTTGTTCGTGCATTAAGGTACACATATATGTCTGAATCATCTATTCTATATATCACCAGTGATGGGTGTCTACGATTTTTTTAGTAAAACCTCTGTCTGTTTTGTACTGTGAGTTTGACATGGATGGTATATATTATGAAACCTTTTTCATGATTGAGATCATAGATTTTTCCTTTCTTGTTTTTCTAATCTTCTATATGTGGAAATATGAATCATATTCCTCATTTCCTCGAGGACCATAATCTTTTAAATAAGCATGATTAATCAAATGAGGCCAACCTTAATTAATGTGTCATTACAGATCTGAATTAGCTCTGATTCCACTTGTGCTACTTGTCCGGACATAAAATAGGGACCATGGCATTTAAGGTTGCGTTTTTGAACTCAAATTTACTTTCAAATACTGAAATGCTTTGTGTAATGTCAAATGATGAATTTCATTTCCAATACTTGTTCTTTGGGGATAATTATCTTAATTGTAGAATAGTGAACACAATTTGGAGGGAAAAATGTACGCATGAAATCACTTTGAACAAAACTCCTCTCATGATGGTAGTAGGTTTTACCTTGTAAAAGACAAGAAGAAGAGGTATCAAAAATATTCCTAAATCACACCTTTGATTCTCCTATGTTCTACTCATAATAGTCATGGGGATACAAAGACCATACAAAGACCAAAGAATATCAAAAGAAGCCATATAAAGTGGAGCCTGATAAGTTTAAATGTTTTACCGCAAGTGCACAGTGTGTGTTGAGACTTAGCAAACACAGGTTGATCCAACATGGATAAGAAATTCGACTATTTTTTGTACAATTAACTTAAACTATATTAAGCAAACAAAGCTGATTTGAACAATTTCAAACTATTGCAAATATTGAAAATGTGAGCATACTTATTTAATTAGATTCTAGTACTTTTTACGTTCCATCATGCATATACCAATCCAAGAACACAAATCAATTCAAAAATGGAAAATGTTATACATAGCCCTTAGGGCTACATATAAGCATTAAATTTACACTTGAAAATCGTAAAAAGTTAAGAAATTATCAAAATATAAACACTAATAACACTAATTTACGCGTGTTTTTGTCATAAATTCCTAATTTTATACAATTTCCAAGAATAAATTTAATGCTTATATATAGCCCTTAGAGCTACATATAACATTACTCTTCAAAAATATATAAAATAGGTCAAGTAATTTAGGAAAAATACATTTTAATAATCCCAACTATTGCCGATTTACCTACAATGATCCCAACTGAGGTTTATTTTTTAATAATCCTAACTATATGCCCAACTTTCCTGCAATAAGCCCAAAAACCGGCTACCTGCTAAAAGGGTAAACACATAATTGGCTTATTTTACAAAAAATTAAAAAAAAGAAAAAAAATATCAGAAATCATCCTAGTCGTCCCCTCCTCCCTCGAGCCACCTTACACCCACCATGAATCCCTAGGCCATGGCAGCTCCACCCTTTTTCTTCGCCCAACACCGCGGCTCTGCCGCCGCCACCATCACCTCGATCACCTGCCCCTTCCCACCAATTGCCGTCCCACGCTGTCTGTTCATGACCACTAACGAAACTCCCTTTTCTTTCTCCCTCTCGTGCCTCTTTCTCTCTCCTCTCACTGACGATCCGAACTATTGCCAGCGCCATCCACCTGGATCGCCACCGCCACCGCTCCCTGCCTCTCCTCTTCCTTCCTCCTCCAACCCAAAACCACCGGTCACCCAAAACCACCAATCGACATGCCTCTTAACCCCCAAAACCACCATCCACCGACTCAACAACTATTGCTACTCCCGCAAATCAGCCCCACCGACGACCCTCCTAACCCCCAAAACCACTCGCCACGATCCACCCCACACCAACCCCTAATTGCTCGCCTCTTGGTCGCAGCAATTCGACCTCCATTAACCACCCCTCTTTTCCCTCCCTCGCCGGAAAATCGAAAAAGAACCTTAGTTGGGGAGTTTTGCTAGTGGATCTAGGCGAATCAGAAAAGGGGATAAGGAGGGAGGTTGGGGTGGTTTCGTGAGCGAGGTGGTTTTCGGTGGATTGGAAAGGGAAAGGGGAGGTTGCCGGCGAGGTGGTGGTGGAATTCGGTTGGTCTAGGTGGTAGGGAGGAGGGTTTTTTTCTTTTTTTTTTTCCTTCTGTTTTTTAATTAGTTTTTTTTATTTTAATTTTTAATTTTTTTGAACCACTTACGTGATGCCACGTGTCGGAGCAATCTGTTGTATTAGGTTGATGACCGGTTGGGTGTGCTCTAGGAAACCTGGGTGCATTGTTAGGATTATTAAAAAATAAACTTTAGTTGGGATTATTGTAGGTAAATCGTAATCAGCAATAGTTGGGATTGTTTAAGTGTGTTTTTCCAGCAATTTAAGTATATGTTAATACTACAGTCAAATATTGAGGTTGGAGCTTTTGGAATGGATTTGAATGGAGTTAGAATCCATTCCATCCATTTTATTGTTTGGTATATGTAATCTCATACTAAGAGGTTTCTAACTCCACCTAGCCCTCACCTTATAAGATTATTAAAAACCATTTCAAATTGTAAACCAAACAAGTTTAGACAAGTATGTTGGGTTTAGAATCCATACCTCCCTAGTATGAGATCTCCATACCAATCCATTCCATTTTAACAAACCAAATGAACCCCCCCTTACATTTCTGTATATGTAGTATGATTGCTAACATTATCAGATTTTTCAATCATAATCAACCTCTAATGTAGTCCCTGCCTATGTTTTAGCAAGCGTGGCACTAATGCAGCACAAGTGTGGCCATTGATTGTATTAATTGCTTGACAACAAGCACAAGGAAGATTACAATTGCAATGACGAAGAACAATTAGTCGTTGGCGTCTTGGCGCTTTGTTGCTTAGTGACAGTGCCACAAAAAAGCTTATGAGTTCCGAAAACTGAAACTAATGATTCTTAAATTTGACCTATCACATGAACATTCTTATCTACTCAATGACAATGACTTCTCTATTTGTACTAAGGACTATTAATCTATTAAAGTAATATTACTAGAATACCTATACTGCCCTTGCTTAGGTAATTCTATTACACACTGCTATTTGAATCTTTTGTACCCAGACACTTGATTTCACCATTAAGTTTTAGTATATAAAACATTGTTTGCAAGTACAATATATTGAATAGCTATGAAGCTTAAAATATTGCAAATAAAGCCACTGTCAGTATGCCAGTCTCAATTTAAGGAGTAGTTCCTCACCTAGAAATCAATTTACCATATAAAATTTAGGGTTTAGGTCTCTTTGAGTATTTTCAATCTCCAAGTAGAGAGCTAAAAAAAAGAAAAAATCTGTTCCATGCAGCTTCCTGGACCCAAATTCCTATTCGTTGGGTGTTCTGAATGCCACTAAGTTGAAGCCTCTTCTAAAGCTTGTTTCCATGCCCATTATACCCCCCTAAATGCTGGATTCTCTCTGTTTCCGGGGCCTGTTATTTACATGGCATGGTAATGTCCCTCTCTTTCCTATTTGAAGGAGATACAAAAAAAATAAAAAATAGTAGTGTCATGATAGGATATTCATTGAATCCAAATGTCTTTGTTGTTTGGTTGAGTGCTTGTTCGTATTTAAATGTCGAAAGAGTTTTGCATTGCATGCTCTTCCTCTGAAGAAGTAGATTTTGAATATTATATCATTGATGTCCAAGTATGTCAAATGGACATTTATTGTTTCCCTTTTGCTGTCTTCAATTATTTGTGAACTTTACAGGGTGGTTGAAATGCAAGAGATTCTTGATCATCAACTTGCTGAGGAAGCTGCTGAGGCTGAGGGAGATGGAGCAATGGCATCGATTGGAAATGCTCGTCGAACCACAAAGTAAACACCTTTTGTCTGAATTATTTGCATTGATTCAGTGCAAATTTATCTTAACAAATCTTTCTTCACTTATGCATGCTTGAAATTAGTTCTCTTTCGATGGAAAATTTTATCTGTGAATACATTTGTTTTCTTTATTACTTGCGCTCATTTATCTAAGGAATTCTGCAACCTACAAAGTATATCAAATCAGACAATTTTGTTTAAATCAGTGTTGAAGAATCACATTAAGAGGTCACTCAGGGGGTGTCAATCCTGTACAATAGGGAGGATATGGTAAAAATTATATGCTCCCTCTGGATCACTTGCAATTTTCCTGAAATTAAAACCTGAAGATAAATTGAAACCCTCTATCATGCATGGTCTCATCAACAAATTTAAGGAAACAGAACTGTTGTTCATTCCACTTAAGGTTCCAACTGTTAAAGAACCTCCAAATATGGAACTTCAATATTTGGTATGCGACTTTCCTCAGAAAATCTAACAATAACTCTCCTGCAATGAACTTCCCTTGTAGCCAGAGGACATACTTCCTTATTAATGTAGATCTCTTGTCCTTCATCTCTATTATAAACGGATCATCTCTCTCATTTGTTGTCTTCCTCCTGTTAGTTTCCCAAGCGAATAAACTTCTTTAAAAAGGGGCCTTCAACTTCCAATTGGTCTCAGAAGTGAAGAAAGTGTTACCAGTCCCTTAAAGCTTGATGCATATTTACTAATAGACTAAACACCTACACATACTACCATACCATATAATCATCCTCATCAGATTTGGAAATTTTCTTATTTAGCAGTAACATCATGCTGTAAATTGCTACTGCTGTCCTTTCAATTAGGGGTCTATACTAGGATAGATCTAAATGCATTTAATATCATTTGATAATGCCACTGTAGATTCTTGAGCCCCGTTCAGGCTTTAGTACCGATGCTGAACACGAGAATATGGAAAGAAGTCTGTTTCCAGGAATTGGAAATGACAAGAAATCTTTTTGTTGATTAAAAATTTTCTGTAATGGTGTGTATTTAGTTGGGAAATAAATGAGCTTGAAGCAAGTTATCAAAGCAGTCATCAGTTGACCACCACTGCCTCTGGACATGCAAAGTTTCCGTATCCAGTTTCCTTATGATCCCCTATTTATAATTTATCAAATGACCTGGCTATTTTTCAAGATATACTAGTGATAAGCTGATAAGACATTCGCATTATGGTGGGAAAGCTACCCACTGCTATTTGCTTCTTTTGCTTATAGCTGGTTATTGACATTATACAGTGGCCATATGTGCTCATTAAAAACATCCCTTGATATCTAGAATTATGATTAGTGCTATTGTTTCTAACACATTACAATATTTCACAATTACTGAACCACATTTTTTTTTAAAATTTCTGATTCAGCTGCCTTTTCTCCAGGAGCAATTCAATCTGAAAATCTCTTTCCTAATATTACTGCTGTTGTTGTTAGGGATGGAAAAAGAATTAATGCAACAGCATCTCCTCAGCTGAAAATTCAGGGAAAAGGCTACAAGGACAAATGCTATGAACAAATAAGAAAGACAGTAGAGGACCGGTTTAGCAGGCTTCTTACAGAGGTTAGTCTTTCCCATCAATTTCATCCATAAAGCAGTGTGATGGTGCTCTGTGATATAGTTTTGATAAGTGCATGACCATATCCAAGTTGCCTATCCACCGTCTCCTACCTTGGCGTCTCGACGAATAGGTGATACTGGAAATTGTTCAAAATGCAACTAATATGAAACCTGCAGTGAATAAACCGATGGACTAATAATAACCACTGTGTGCATGATATATGTATCCTTATTTTACAGACTGCAGAGGTAGAGGGATGGGGTCAGTATATCTCTCATCTGCAGATCTTAATTCCTGTATTGGCTGTATATATCTGATTATTATATTATGGGTGGATCAACATAACAGTTGTTCAATTTGAAACATTGATTATCCTACAAAGATAATTTGCTTGCATTAAGTATTGGATTAGGAATGAATCTCTTTAACCAGTGTATGAATTTGATACGCTGGATTTATCTAGGTCTGTCTTTCCTGCTTAATGTCTCCAAAATGACAAATCTTTTTATATGCTGTGCTGGTCTTCTTTGCTGAAATACTGAGTGGTTTTATGAATTTGAATGCCCCAGTGGTTGGGGTTAAATTGTTAAATGGATTTTAGCCCCATTACTCTTTTGCCTAGATGCATGTGTGGCTTGGTTATCATGTATTCTTTGGGGTTTATGATAATTTGACATTGAGTATGTTAGAAAAATTCTATGTTTTATTTTAAAGGTTCAGAGGCTTGTGTTCTCATCTGCGCACATTTTGTGTCTTGCTAGCTGAGAGACAGGTTTCTTCTAATCTAAATTGGCTACTCAGAAGTGTTTCAGTGGTGCTGAGTGAGGTGGGAATTTATGGTAAACATGTGTGCGTGTGCGTTAACATGTAATACGGGTTTTTGAATTCTTTTAACAGTTGGTTTTTATTCATATATCATGAAAGCAATTTGGTTACAGATGCTCATACTCGATAAAGATTGGGAAAATATGTCGATTTTCTTTGACAGTGTATCATATAGATGAAAGGAATAATGGAGTTAAGGCAGTCAAGCTGTTGAAGCACTGACAATATTGCATGTTTCTTTTGAGGGAGGGGACAAGTAGGGTTGAAATGATTTCTTGACTCATACTGTTGTATTCTTTTGAAAGTGCTTTATTTATTTGATTTACATCTATTTGATAATTGCTAGCAATATTATTTTAAAATAATCTCTTAATAGATCACTGTCCATTACTCCTTTCTTTAGAATAAGGGCCTTTGTTCATTTTAATTTGCAATGTGAAACATGTTTTTCTTGGTAACTTATGGAAGCAAATAGAGCTATTCACTAACAGGACTTTCTAACTATTGTCTATGGGCCAGCTTGTTATCGAAGACCATAAAGCAGCACTGGAGGAAGCTCGTGCGGTATGTTTATATCTCTGCTGCTCTTATTTTAGTTTAAACTTGTAACTTCATCATTTTATTACTCAGAATATACATGTTCATCACTAGTAAATGTCATACTTGTAATTGGCAAATCATTGCTGTTTAATTGTCAGCCATTAATCATAATATAACTGCCATGTTCCCTACTGATTTTAGATTCATCACTCTTACATATTAGGTTAAAAACTCGAAAGATAAGCTAGTTCAAACATTGATAAATTGTAGGTTCTCATTTGTTCGTTCCCGATACTCTGTATGCTGTTCTATATACATCTCAGGTTCATAGAATTGATTGATTAGAGTGATCCATTTGCCCATATTTACTGTGTCTAATGAATGGCACATACATTTTGCAAAGTTAATCACTAAATCACATTAAATAGTTAACCTTTTAAAGGAAACTAACAAACTTTTTTCTGACCTATTTCTTGTGTCCTCACATTGTACATCAAAATTGTGGATCTTTGTCTTTTTAATTTGTTGAATCTTTCTAACTGCTATGATGTTGACTCAGAAATCCCTCACTCTTAGTTTATGTACTGCATTGGAAACCTAAAATTATGAAACATTCTGCAAGATTTAGTTTGTCACATCTCTTGACATGAGCCACAATGATTTAGAGTAGAACTAGGATGGGTGACCTCATGGGAAGTCCTTATGTTGGTTTATGTAGCTGGCCCAACTTATGGGATTAAGGAGTTCATTTAGTTAATGGGCTGGGCTGTTACATTGGTTCATATATGAGGATAATCTAATTCATTTACTCCCTTCGTCCCCTTTTGATAGTCCCTTGTGGGCATTTTTCACGGGAATTAATAAACACAAATAAGAATAGTAAAAGTACATTGAAAAAATAAATTGACATTGGGTATGTAAAAAAGTAGAGAGAGAAAGTAATAAGAGTATATGGGAAAACAAAATTTACATGGGAAATTTAAATTTGCACATATATTGTTGCAAATTGGAGGGAATTTTGGTAAAAAATTAATAGTAATGGTTGTTGGAAAAAGCAAATGGGGTGAACATTTTGGGACTAAAATTTGCCCATAAGGGACCATCAAAAGGGGACGGAGGGAGTAGTTGAAAGAGTAAATCATTTTGAACCTATTTAACTAAATAGACTGAAAAATCTCTATTGCTATTATTCATATCGTGTTATTATCATTAGGTGCTGTGTTAAGTTACCTTTCCAGCTGATTTCTCATATTTTCCACAAGGCTTTCTAAAACACAAGGAATAGTGTACAACTTATTGCCAATAAGAAACTAATCATCCTTGTAAGAAAGACAAAGAAATAAAATAATGAAAGAAAGTATGAAACAAAGAGAAATTTGCACTCCTAGTGCACAGGTACTGCAGTATGTATTCAAGTTTAGTAATTAATATGTTTTCTGTAACCCTACAAAGCATTTTTCCTGATACGGAAACCATCTGCTCGTCTGGGCGATCTGGCACTATGTATGGGTAGCTAATTCCAAATTATTAATTTTTGGCATCTATTCTTATTGAATTTCTTCTAGGGACCTGGGAAAAGAAATTAAATCTGGATTTAATGAGTACTAGAATAATAGCATTCTTACTCATTTGCTTATGTTATACTTGAGTTTTCTTTCTTAACTTCTAGATTGGAGAAGAGCTTGGAGATATTTATGACTATGTGGCTCCTTGTTTTCCACCAAGGTTTGTGCTCTTTAGATTTATTTTAAAATTATTTTTTTATCTCTGTTATTCTTTCATTATTTTGTATGAGGAAATAGTATTAAAAGAGCCTAGTATTGATCAAATATTGCTCCATAGCCATCTTACTGGGTTAAGATCAGGAATTGCTTTTGGTGTGGTTTCATATAGAACTTTGCCTATTAGAAGTTTATTTATTGATTAATTTAATATTTTCTAGGTATTTGATTTTTCTATTTTGTTATTGAAATAAATTTAAAGACTAATAGATCATTCTAGAGCTGCAAATTGCTGTGTTATGCAATCCTTTAATTGGCTTTTAATTTGTTATTTCTAATAATTGAATATAGAAGCAAAGCATTTGTTGATGACATGGACTCCAATTTTGTGTTTGCACTAATGCTGACGAATAAAAATCATTAGAATACTATGAACCAATTTTCTTGTAATAAGATTCTGGTGCTTAGAAAAAGATGTCTGTGAAATACATGGTTGAGCATTCTACCAAGTACTAAGCAAATCATGCAATTTGTTAGATTTCCTAATTCAAAAGTTTCTGGTGCTTTTCTTCTGGTCTATCTATTGCATAATGTTACTAGGAGTATTCTAATTGACGTAAGTGATATGTATGCATACTTTTATCATCATTTTCTAGTTATGTTTTTCCTATTTTGCTGATGACAGATATGAAATTTTCCAACTGATGGTCAACCTGTACACAGAGAGATTTGTTCAGATGCTTAGATTGCTTAGCGACAAGGCAAATGAACTTACCAACATTGAAATATTGAAGGTAACTAATTATATCTAAAAAGACCATATGTTTCAGATCTTCCCTTGGCAAATTACTTTGATGGTGTAGAATGGGACAAAGTTAGATTTCTGTCAGTATTGTTAAGTCAGTTTTGAAGCATTTGTTACCATAGGTCAGTGCACAGTTTGAGTTCAAAAGCTTATTCTGTGAGTGAGTGTGACACCTTATCAATCTCAGCCTTGTGAGCTTGGACTAGATGGGTCTATGTTGGTCTGTTTGCCATTCCATGTCCAATTCTTACCTATCAAGGAAAGTGAATAAAAGAGTAGTGAAGGGAAACAATGATAATATCAGACCGGTAACAAAAATATCTTAATGCGGAGGAATAGAATTCCTCTTAGTTCTCAACAGACATCAGCTGCCATTTTCTTTGTTCTTTGTTTCTTTTTCAAATTTACTGATGATATTGACTCCCGTAGTCCCGTACTAACTAGATTGCCCATTTTAGCTGGGTACATAGATTTAAGAATTGTCTTTTGGCAGGGCATTGTTGAGTGAAGATGGAATTAAATATTGAAGTGGTGGTTCTTATAATTCTTTTTTAACTTTTAACTTTTTATTTTTTAATTTTTATTGATGGATAGATAGAGTGGGACACTTGGGAAGAGAGGTAAAAATTATAATGAACAGAAATGAAAAAATAAAAGTTTAATATTATTATATTGAGTGGACAGTCTGAATAAATGAATGGTCGACCTTTTAAAGTAGACTTAACTGGCGAAATGGACAATCTTTTGAAGAATGGAGGGAGTAATATATTAAGAATAAATGACCACTTTGTAAACTAAATAAAATGATTTTGACTGTTATGAAGGGTAACTAAATGCATTCATTTTCTCACGTACTTATTTTGTATAGCTTAGCTTGACATGTGAACTTGCTTATTTGTTCGCTTTTGTATTTGCATCAGCTTTCCACAAATCTTTTGTGGTTGACTGACGTGTATCTGCTTATAATTTGCTTATGTCCAGGTAACTAGTTGGGTGGTAGATTACCAACAGAATCTGATTGACCTTGGTGTGGATGAATCTTTAGCTCAAGTTTGCTCTGAGAGTGGTGCAATGGATCCTTTGATGAATGCTTATGTTGAAAGAATGCAAGCTACAACAAGAGTAAGATCTTTTTGGTCATGTTAATTATCACTTTTAGTATATGTTTCTATATGTGTACTCTTATATTGCTATTCCTCAGCAGTTAGCTGGACACTGATTCTGCTTCTTTGTTTTAGAAATGGTACTTAAATATTTTGGAGGCTGACAAGACACAACCTCCAAAGAGAACAGAAGAGGGGAAACTGTACACACCAGCTGCTGTGGATTTGTTCAGAATCCTAGGAGAGCAAGTGCAAATTGTCCGTGACAACAGTACTGATGTCATGCTGTACAGGATTGCATTGGCCATCATCCAGGCAAGTTCATTGACACAATCTCTGCTGAATTTAAGATAAAGGTGTCAAACTGCTATGTGCCATGTGTTATTTGAATTTTTTGATTTTTCAATTTTCCTTTTATGATCTTCCACCTAAGCAGAGATTCGTTGTACTTCTCTTGTAGCCCTGCTCATCTGATATACATTCTTAGTTTTTAAGGTGAACTGAGAAGGAGGGGGAGGGGGAATTATCATGTCCATCTTGGCTGACATTCCATGCTAATCTTGCTAGAGTACAACCAGCACACCGGTCTTTCTATCACGTAAGAGAGAGAGAGAGAGAGAGTGTGTGTGTGTGTAAAGGTGGGAAAACAAATGGGAAAGTAGTGGTCAATCATCACCCAACAATGCAAGTGCATAAGCTGTGGTGGAGTGGTGGGCTCCCAAGCATTTAAAAAAGCGCGCTGAGGCGCAAGGTGTTAGGATTAATGCACTATTGTGGTCTAGGCAAAGTGAATTTGATGAGGTGCGGCGAAGGGGCACCCCTTGAGGCACAACATTTTTTAGGAATTTTTTTCATTGTTTATTATAGGCGTCTCACTTCAATGAAGGCTTTAGGTGCAGGGAACTTGTGATGGGCTTCGAAACGCCTTGAGCTTTTGTATACATTGTGCTCCCATAATGTAATATTGTACTCCCTCCGTTTTTATTTGTGCCCCATTGAGACTTTTTGAACTTTTCACTTGACCTTTGATCAATATTTGTGATTTATACTCCATATTTTATTACTTGCTCTATTTCTCCATGCATTGAGTTTTAGGAGGAATAGTGGAAAGTAATAAAATATGATGGAAGTTGGGTTGGTTGAAGAATAAGAAAATTTAAAAAAGCTAAAGTGAAAGTGGGGAGAGGAGAGGATATGAAAAATATTAAAATATGATGTGAGGGGACCACTAGTGGATAGGAAAATAATAAACTATTGTTATAAGTTTCAAAAAACGGAAATGGAGTAAGTAATAAAATGTGGCCGCAAAAGGAAAGTGGAGCAAGTAATGAAATACGGAGGGAGTACATGAGAAAAAAATATAGTCTTGTGGGCAGTTGTTAGAATCGCCTCGATGAATAAATTACTAATATTTAATTGTTAAAATTTATGTTTATTGATATAATTAAAGATATTATTGGCCGAAGTTCATTGGCATGTGTGCCAAATCAATATGAGACACTTAAAATAACATAAATGGAATAAGGTAAAGATTGAAATTTGAAATAATGGGAATGGGCTTAAACAGAAAATGCGAAGAACTAACAAAAAGGGAGGGTAGCAATTAGCACTTTCTTTATCGTTAAGTAATGTCTATACCTGTTCTACTGGAACATTAGGTGGTTTATTACTATCCATTACTCCCCCTCCCCCTTGAAATATCTTTTGAATGTTCAGTGTTCCTTTTTAAATACCATTTGAACATTTCAAATCAAGTAAACCCAATGTTTGCAAATGTAGACCATACATGTGACTACTTTTGCTTTAAAGAGGAGAGAGATAGAGTGTTAGAAATTTATTTGATATAATTGGACTTCACAAAGTGGGGTTGTAGTTGATAAATAATGAATAAAATTTTGCTATAAAGGCATAAATAAAAGTGAAAAGAACTTAGAAAAACAGATGAAAACGGAAAATGTCCAAGACTTAGGTAAACAGAGGGAGTAGCTATAACTTTGAAGAAGATAGTTGATCCAGGGGCAAAGGGAGTGGTTAAATTTAGTTGAAACTGGTAATGCAAGCCCATATTGATTATAGAAAGTAGGTTATAATCTATTTTTATATTTAAAGTTGCATTTAATTTTGAATTAGTTTTCAAAATAAAGTAAACATATCTTTTTATATTAGTCTTCCATCACCCGGTTGACTTAAGGCAGAGATGCAACTAGATCGTTCAGATTGGATTTGGGTTGTGTCACATTCGAGTAATTAATAATTTTGTTTTACTTTGGGATTAAGTTGCTTTGAGTTTAGTCAATTTCAGATAGAGTTTGTATTAGTGTAATAACAATAACCAGGGTTTGCTATGGGTTAAGTTTGCCAGGTCTAGCTTCAAAATTAGAAGAGAACTCCAATGCTAATCAACAATTAAAAGAATCATAACAACTTGTAGCATTAAATGAACACCTTTTGTCTAATAAATAGAAGCAGATGGATTATCATTTATGTCACTTGAAAGGCATCCTCAATGTATATTATTGAACTCTCATTGTTGCTCTCTTTCCCCTTTGTGTAATAAAATAATTCTGCTGAGTAACATTGTATACTGTCATAATGAAAATCGTGCACCTGCCATCTGTAAATGATGTTTATTAAGGATAATTTATGGTGGTGTGATGACGCTAGGGTTGCTAGCCTAGTAGTTATGCTTCTAGATGGTCATTGACCTTATTATGGTTATATAACACTGCAACGCAAACATAATATGAATCTCAAAACACATTAAGAAAATGGCAATGCAATATAGGATGGCCTCTTCCTGTCAGTTCCTCCTAGGGCTTTTCAACGCATAGTACTACCTTTGTTCCTTTTTGTGTTACACCTTGTTTTATCTGATTTTGTTGGATACAATTTTGCTTTGTCAAATTTTGTCTCACACAAAGCCCACTTACAACAGTCTCTTACTTTTTCTTACAAAAACCCTGCCTACAACTCTCGCTGCCACTTTTAAACTTTCTCCTACCCTCGGTCTCTATTAGTGCAGTAAGTGTAACTGTCATTTAGGAAAGGAGGTAGTATAATAATAAGGTGAAATGTCCAATTTATCGATTCGCTTCTGAAATACAGATGCAATTTTCCCAAGGTGGCATATATGATGTTATTACGCTTAAATCTGACTATATTTTTGTCCCATGATTCCATCGACAACAATTGTTGCCCTGAATATCTTACCACTTGCAGCTCAGTGTTGCTAATAATTATATAGGTATAAAAATTAAAGGAAAATTAAAATTCTTTTTCTAGTTTCTGGGAAGAGAAAAATCATAATTAAGCATTATTGTAGCACGAGGTAATAACATCAGTAGGTTCTTCATATCAATCTTTGATATCTTTTCTTTCATGTTTAAAGGACTGTGGCACAATATTGTTGTCTTCTGCTTGCATGGTGCTTGTTTAAATAGGAATCAACTCGTTAGTATTTTTTCACTAATTACCATCGATTAGTCACCTTAAAGTCATCTGGCATATCAATTTGCTTCCTTCAGGTAATGAATGATTTTCAAGCAGCTGAAAGGAAGAGGCTTGAAGAACCTGCATCAGAAATTGGCCTTGAACCCTTGTGTGCTATGGTTTGTGAATCATTCTATTTTCTCTTTCTGTCCTATATTACTTACTTGAGGTTCATATGTTATTGATAATTTTTTACGAACACTGCAAAACAGATCAATAACAATCTTCGCTGTTATGATCTTGCAATGGAGCTCAGCAACAGCACTCTAGAGGCTTTGCCTCAAAATTATGCAGAACAGGTGATTCGCCTTTGTTGTCGATATTATTCGTTCTGTATTTCCTGTATCTGTCACTTAGCTGTTTGTGAGTTTTCCTCCTTTAGCATGTCGCTGAGTTGGGTGTTTGGTTGGGATTAGGGATAGGGAAGGATAGGAAACCAAAAAAAGAGAAAAGATACAATTTGTCATGATCTCCGCCACCATACATTGTAGAAGTGTAGATCATTTTCTTTCAAATTCTGTCTCCATTTAATTGTCAGCTGCAGCAAGATTCTATTCGTTGTGGTTGAATTTGATCAGAGGCATCAAATCTTGAACATTCCTGGCCAAGTTCAACCATTTAAGTTATTGTCAGAATCATATTTGTGGAGGTTGATTTTGTGATGATTGTTCCTTGGATTTGTGGTGGTGGTAGTTTGCAATGTTGATGGATAGGGTTTTCAATTTTCGGTGTTGGTAAATACGGAAGTGTCCCGGTTCAGTTTACTGCGTTGATGGAGGACTATTGGTTGTCTGATTGTTCTGTTTCATGTGACAATGATAGGTGAGGCGTGGTGATGTTAGGTGGTAGCTCGGTGGAGTATTGAAACCCAGATGTTTGTCACAAGTGGAGGAAGATGTATGGTTGCTAGTGGTGGTGGCAGTTGAAGTATTGCAGGGGATGAAGGCTAAGGCTGGGTGTGACCATGCTGGTGGGACAGATGGTTGTCAAAGTTGATCAAGGTGGTCACTGTGTAGAGGACTTTGGAGCCTTGTCGGTTATATACTTATATTGAAACCTCTGGGAGCTGATGATGGGGGAATCATTTTAGAGTTAATAGGGGGTAACCCAAAATGAAAACAAGGTAGAGGGTGTGAGAATAATGACTGTCCAAACAACAGAAAATGAGTCAGGATTCCCTCTCCCTTTCTTGAAACCCCCTATACAAACTTCCCCTTAGATTTTTGTCTCATCTTATCATTTATAATGACCGATCAATTGGTGGCGTCTAAACCTGGTTGTTCGAAACAAATAGGGTTGTCCTAAGTTGATAAACACATCCTGAGGTTCCATACTTCAAATATTTTTTATATTTCTGTATAAAATAGGGTTTGGCCTAGTTATGAATTTTGGGTTCAATTTTTTCCATTTGGTGTTCAAGCTACACTAGTTTAGTTCATTTCAAATTGCTCTGTCCTGTATCCCTCCGAAAAGGCTATAATAGACTAGCTTGGAGGGGTAGTATAGGTATTTTAGTTTACTAGGGTTAATAGTCCTTAGTATAAATAGAGAGGGAAGGGAAGGAAATAGGTAGGCAGAATTTTGGAGTGATTCTTAGGAGAGCTGTGACCTCTAAGTCACTACTGGAGCTTTGTAGGCTAACCCTACTACTATCGTTTGTAAGAAACCATTAATTTGTTTACTCAAATTTCAGAGTTTTCTCCTTCGTTGTATAGTTATTATATCGAGTAATATTAGTCCATTACACTTGGTATCAGAGTGGTGTTCCTGGTGTCCGGTGCCGGAAACCACCACTACGAAAAAAAAAAATATGGTGTTTGTTATTGCTGGAAGAGAGGCATCACAGCTTATGCAAAATTGAATCCAGGGGGGATTCGCATACATTTCCAGCAAGAGAGAGCGTGGAATTTCAGATCTGAATGACGAACGAAGAGTCCGGTGTGAGCTTCAACTTTCTGAGTTTAATGGGAGGAATCTAACTGGGTACTCCGACTAGAGGATACTTTCCAATTTTTCCAGTTAGACGAGGAGGTGAAATTGAAGGCTGCCATTATATGGCTGAGCGGCGAAGCGTTGGAGTGGTTTGAATGTGGGCACAGGTGGCTACCAATACGGGAGTGGCGGGTTCTGAAGAGAGTATTGGCGAGTCGTTTCGGCTCGTATAATGCATTGGCATGAGCAACCAACTCCAGTTTTGCCACTATCAATCGAAGTGGAAACGAAGGTGTCACCTCAGATATTCTCAAAGAAGATAGAGGAAAGCACAAAGAGAATCATCGAAAATGTTCAAAGAAATATGGACAAAATCGCTAACAAAGCTTCTTCTCCAATGAATAGGGAGGAAGGAGATTATCAAGCGAAATTGGAAGATGAAATTGAAAATGCAGATAAGTGGAGGAGCAGGTACACCCTAGATTAGAGCCTTAGAGGATGATAAGGGAATTGGTAGTTCGGTAAACCTTGGTGGTGAGTTGAATTGCGTAGATAAGGGTTTTGGAGGAGTCAAATCTAGTGGTAGGCTTGGCGATTTTGGGGATGGATTCGCTGGTGGAGGTCAAGATGGAGCCGACGGCAAATTTGGTGGTGGATATCATGGGCTTACTGGTGGTGTTCAAAATGATTTTGAGGAAAGTAATTTGGGAAAGAAGCTAGTTGGGGTCTTAGGTGGTTCACCAGCAAAACAATTTGAGAAGGGAGGTGCTGGAAGAGGTGGGTTCGGCGGTGGCCTTGGATCCTTAGGTGGAAAAGGTGAGTTTGGTGGTAAGGCCACCACTAGAAGCGGCCTGAACAGGGACAGGGTTGACTTCGTGAGAGGCGGATCAGCAGCTAGTGAGTCCGGAGGAGGACCTGGTGGGTCCGGAAAGGGTGAGGATAGTGGTAGGACCACCACTATTGGTGGCCTAAGTATAAAAGGAGGTGTCTTCGTGAAGGGCAGATCTGGTGCATGTGGGTCATGTGGGTGCAGGAACAAAGGGCTACAGGTGGTCTGGGCTATTTGGTCGCCGGAGAAAATGGTGGGGGATTGCGCAGGAACGTCCATGGCAGAGGTGGTGTTGGTCGTGGTGAATTCACGCAGCAGAGGAGTGGTGATTTCGCTGGTGGTTTTACCGGCGGTGGTGATCTCGTCGGAGATGGACTAGTGTCTTTTGTTGGTGGGGGGTCTGTTGGTCAAAAAGGGTGGTACTGGGTGTTGAAAATTTCAGAAGTGGGGTGTATGAGAAGCTTTGTGGAAATTGTCCTTAGCTTGGAGAATAAGGAAAACCTGGAAGGGGATAGTAAGGGTATTACTGTCAACGGAACAAAAGAATGGCTTAGATGGCAACCTGATGGTATTTGGTGTAATACAGCATGGGTTAAACCATTCCCAAGTAAGTGGGCTTACTCTTTTAAAGCCCAATCTATCACATTTGTGGTGACTCAAGGATTGTTCAAGTTGCTTACAAATTAGATTTGCCTTATCCTTCATGTTTTGAGCTTGTCAACTTTAGGGCCATTCATCCAACATTGGTTCTGAATTCCAAGTTCATAACCCAAATTTTCCACTATCATTCTTCTAACCTTGAGCCCCCAAAACCATCAGCCTGTAGTCGTCCTCCTAACACATACTCTCATTTCTTTGGCCAAGGGTTAAACCAAAACATTCATTTCAATTTACAGCCTTACAATCCCAAGTCAACAAATACCAACTCTGCCCAAAATTTAATCAACTATCATGACAAGCTGGTACATTATTTAGATTTTTCTGCCATAGTAACTTTCAGCTATGAACAGAAATTCTCGCTGCAGCTCGCTCTTGGTTTTGGCCATTTCAAGAGTTGGATTGGAGATCACTATTGCCCAAGCCGAGTTTCAAGTGTTGATTATAAACCACCTTGAGGATAAGGTTGAAGTTTAGGGGGCCGGTATTGTAATAGACTAGCTTGGAGGGGTAGTATAGGTATTTTAGTTTATTAGGGTTAATAGTCCTTAGTATAAATAGAGAGGGAAGGGAAGGAGATAGGTAGGCAGAATTTTGGAGTGATTCCTTAGGAGAGTTGTGACCTCAAGTCACTATTGGAGCTTTGTAGGCTAAACCTACTACTATCGTTTGTAAGAAACCCTTAATTTGTTTACTCAAATTTCTGAGTTTTCTCCTTCGTTGTACTGTTATCATATCGAGTAATATCATTCCATTACATAGGCATTCAATAAATCATGAAAAATTTGCAAGGGCCTTGGTAATGCAGCACTCATTGAATTTCTAGATGATATTTGTACAATTTGTTACTAAAATTGGGTCTTAAATTTTTCAGATGAAATATTAAGGAGCTTCTTGACTAATTGAAGGATATTATCAAACATTTTTTGTGTAGAAATTGTGCTATGAAAGAACCTATGGATTTGGCTTCATATTTTTATTGTCAAGATAACATGGCTTTCTATGTGGTGGACAGGTCAATTTTGAAGATACTTGCAAAGGTTTTTTGGAAGTTGCAAAGGTAAGCTTGAACATTTTGTGGTTTTATGGTACTTATAAAAGTTTATTTTTGAGCTGTTACTCATTACGGCTTGTCGAGTAGCATCCAATGTAATAACATAGTTATTTAGAATTAATATCACATTGTGCTTTCAAACCTTGTTAGATATAGCTTAAAACCTTTTTGGAACTGACTTAACTTAATGGAATGGCTAATGGTGATGTTCAATGCACATATAGAAAAAATAAATTTTATCTTTTTTAATCTTCCAACTTATGTTTTATTCTTTGTGGAAAAAAAAATTCTCTCTTTACCCTTCTTCACCCCAATACATAGGTTCACTTATACTATTTAATAAAAGTTATAATACCATTCTGTCTAGATCATGGTTCAAAAATGTGGTTTCGGTTACGATCACGGGAACGGTTGCGGTGTCGCGGGAACGCTTATGATGCGTTGATCGCGGACCATGTCACGGTTGTATCGGTGCAAATATGATTTCAAGATAGTAGAGGATTAGAGCCATTAGGGAGGTGATATGGGGGCATAATAAAAGATTTGAGCCATTAGTGGGGAGATATGGGGGAATCTTTCACTATATCTTTGAATAGAAAGTAACTTTTGTGTGAAATAATAGATGTAACTTTCAATGCGGAATGATTTAGGGTTGAAATGTTTGGTTCGGACAAAATCGCGGGGTTTTTTTAATACCCCTTGTTGATGCGGACAATCTCGGTTCGGTCAATTGAATTTCCTTTACAAAACGGCCCAACCAAGACGTCGCGGCCTTGTTTTTATACCATGGTCTAGATAACATTCTTTCCTATGCAAAAAGTCAAAACAGGACCCACTTTCCACTAATTCTCTTGTTTCCTAGTTTAATGTTGCTACAATAAATAGGAAGATCAAATAAGAGCCGAGGGAGTAACATGCAATCTAGATTCTAATATTTAGGGACCAACTTTAGTGTTGAAGCTAGTTGTTAGCTCATTCACAAGGTGTTGAGTGAAGCAGTATAATCATTTAGGTTATTTTTTATTGGCTATGTTACTAAAGCAATTCAATAACTTGTCATTTGCATTTTCAACATGTAGACATATACATGGTTGAACATGCAAATGACACCTATGCTGCGTCAATCTTTCCCTTACATAGAGGGTTGAGACCCCTGCTTAAGCGTGATGTTCATCGGAACAAGGGCAGCTGCTGGTGTAGAATATAGCTACTGGCCATTGTTTTGCACATTACCCTTTTTATTTTACGTCCTTTTCCTCTCTGTGTGTGTGTGAGGGGGATTAATTTTTGGATAAAGGTTTAGCAACTTCTTGTTCTCCCTGACTTTTTGTGTCTTCTAACTTCTACACTTTTGATAGTGGAAGCATGCATTTAAAAGCTTGTCCAATTTTTCTCAGTAAAATTATGCACTGTATACTTGAGCACTATGGATACTAAACTCTTTTCATGATTAATAGGAAGGTGTGCATCAAACTGTTACTGTTATATTTGAAGATCCAGGAGTGCAAGAGTTGCTGGTCAAGCTCTATCAAAAAGGTAAAGTAACTTTGCCTAATATTAACTTTCTTATATGACTCTAGTGCTGTACATAGACTTATATGAAATTTTAACTTCTTATAGTAAAGGTAATGCCCACTTTCCTTACAACAGGATCCTTTTACTTCCAGTTGGTAGCTGATATGTGTCTATAGCTGTTATAAATATTTCGTTTCCATATAGCTTTCTCAAATATCCCAAGGTGTTTTTTCTTATTTTTTTTTTAATTTTTTTTCATAATTTTATAATTGAAAAAAAAGAAGTTAGAAGTGATTAATATATTCTCGCTACTGTTTTATTATCTCTTTTTCTTAATCTTTAAGTTGGGTACCTTTCTCCGCTGCATGCAATCTTGCTCATTTCATCCTCTTTTTTTTTTTGTACTTATAAACTACATCAGTCAATCAATCAAAGCCTTAATCCCATATGTGGGGTCGGCTACATGAACCAAAGATGATTATTTCGTATACTCATACACAAAGATCTTCTTCTTCCGTCCTTTACAATCTAATGCCTCATGCTCTTGCAAATCCATATACTTCATATCCCTCCTAACTCCTTCCAACCAAGTCATTTTTCGGTCTCCCTCTCCATTGGTCTTATGGAAGCCATGTAAAATTTCCCTTTCAATTGTACTTATAAACTACATATTGCATTAAAATCATCTGCATGACTGCACCTCATGTCACACACTTCCTCCGAATTTATTTAGATGGAACACTTTAAAATATACACTATTCTCACTATGCAATATTTTTAGAGATTTTTTTCATGTTGAAAAACAGTCTTATGGAGTCTTGTTAGGCTCGTCTTAATTTATACTTCCTCTGTTTCTATTTAGATGACTAACATTCCTAAAAAGGAAATGTCATATTAGATGACCTATACTATTTTGGAAAGTTTAACTACCATACTTCCTTCCTAATAAAGCCTTATGTTCTGTACTACCCAACTCCAAACCTTCAAACCCACCACCCTTGTCCAACAAACCACCACCCCTTTCCACCAAACCACCACCCAGTCCACTGAACCACCACCCAGTCCACCGAACCACAACCGTACCTGACCTCCCAAAACCACACACTCCCTAGAAAACATCGCCCTCCTCATCGAACGACAACCCAGCCACCACAATTGCCGTCACCCTCAGGACGCAACTCCATTTTCTCTCTGTTACCATCTTCTTTTCTTCACGGCACTACCTTCACTATCAGCTCTTTATTTTCTCTCCTAAGCCCCTCTCCATAACCCACATACCTCCCATCGTCGTCGCTGCGCAAACCACCACCACATTTGTTGCTGTTTTGGAGATCGAAAAAGGCAAAAGAAAGGAAAAAGAGGGGAGAAAATCCAATGTGTTGTAGAAAATCCAATATGTTGTAGAAAAAGAGTTTTTATTTAAATATGTTAGGGCCATTTTAAAGATTAGAACAGGGCATCAAAATAGTTTGAGAAAATCCAATAATGCAAATGGGCAAATTTTTTGTAATATAAATTATAGTTAGTATGCGAGAGAAATGATAAATAAAAAAGAAGTGTAAGTGGGGTTGGTAGGAGAGATAATATCTGTAAAAGTAGGGTTAGTAGGAAATAGAATTAATAAAATTAATAGTGGGTCCTGACCAAATAAGGAAGTGTTGCAATTATTACGGAACTGAGGAAGTAAAAATTTAAAGATTTCAACGGTTGAAGATATGCATAGGAAAGTGGGAAAACTGAAAGGTTTTATCTAATAAAAAATGAAGTATTTGTTTGTGTGGACTAAATACTTTTTATACTTTAATTTTATTATTGTTAATTTTTTTTTAATCATGTAGATCATAGAATTCTTCCTCATTTTAACTTGCTGGTGATGTGTAGCTGCAACTTCATTGGGAATTGTTAGTACTAACATCAAAGGATTCTCTTAACTTTAAATACTAACCCACCTTTTTATTAGTTTTGCTTAGCCTTATGGTGACCAGTATCAAGCTCTTCTTATGACTATTATTAACTACTCTTGCGTATCCTTTTCCCTACGGTTTTGCAGAATTGATTTCTGGTCGCACATCACTTCCCCTCCCCCCCCCCTCTCCGGTTCTAAATCAAGTAGCTGTGTTAAGCTTATTTATTTTTCATTTACTTCCCTGCTATCAATTTTCAACGTACTTCTTTTTACCTTTATCATATCTGATTGCCCATACGTGGAAAACCCTGTATCCATACTTGTATAGGTTTTGTACCATGTGACAGTGTGACCCTGGTCAGTACCCACACGGCCACACCTTAGTATAGTAACATAATTCTTCTAGATGATAAGCGTCAATATTATCTTCCTGCTATATTTGACCTTGTAACATGTCCTGTTGCAATATCACTGAATGTTCAAACTAAAAAGATTCTCAGATAGTCAGTTGCAATTTTTATTTTTTTATTTTTTATTTTTTATTTTTTATTTTTTTTTACTGTAAATATTTATATGTTTTGGTTTAATATTTTATATTTGGCTGAACTTGTACCATGTGCTTTGTTTCAGAATGGTGTGAAGGACAGGTAACAGAGTACCTGGTAGCAACATTTGGAGATTATTTTGCCGACATAAAAATGTTAGTACTTTAATATGTTGTGCTTAACAAAGATTAGTTTGCATGAAGCTACTTTACATTGCTATCTATATTGACATTCATTCTTGACACTACGCTACATGGCATTAATAGTTTCAAGAAAAAACAATCAGGTTACCTCCTTGCATGAGCATTAGAACAGGATTTTAAAAAACTGGACTGCTTGTAGTTACACTCTATAGCATTGCAGTAAAAGCCAATTCTGTTTTCTATAAGCTTGTAAATTCAATTGTCCTTGGTTGCATTTTCTTCTAATGAAGCTTTGTGATTATCTATCTTGATTAACTTTAGGCTGTCGGGCACACTCAGACCTTGAACAATTTGAACAGTGCTAGATACTTTTAAGCTGAATCAAGCATTAATCCAGCTGAAAACAGAATGGGATAATAAAGAGCTAGAGGGTCTTAAGAACATGGTGTAATTATTATTTACATAATTTAGACTTGCACATTCCAATGGAAGATAACTTCATCTGTTGCGGTGCTGTGGTGGTTGATCTATCATAAATTGTACCTTTTTTTTCTGAATTAGTGAAATATTTCACTCTCTCTTATGGTGTTCATAACAGTGCTACTGACTCAAGCCCAAAAAAAAAAAAAAAGAGATTATTATTTCTGAGTTTTGTCTCTGTTTAGTCCTTAACTTGCTTCAGCATTGGTATATGTATATTGCAACTTTATCTAAAGTATGTAATCTCTATAACACCTGGATCTGTAATATAGGTACGTTGAAGAAAGATCATTCAGAAGATTTGTGGAGGCTTGTCTAGAAGAAACTGTAGTGGTCTATGTGGATCATCTTTTGACACAGGTTGTCCTAGAGTTGTGGATTACTCAATCATGACCAGTAGACTTGGTTAACCTATCAGTATCATGAATTCCCACTATATTTATATTTTACTCACAGCTTTGCCATTGCCATGTTTCTGCAGAAAAATTATATTAAGGAAGAGACTATTGAGAGAATGAGATTGGATGAAGAAGTGTTGATGGATTTCTTCAGGGAATACATCAGCGTGTCTGTGAGTTTCTAATCAAAACGTCCAAATGTCAATATACTTTTGGTGAGCTCTACAATTTTCAGAAATTAAGGCTTTGTACTTGGTTGTGATTTTTTATTCTGTGCTTCAGAAAGTAGAATCCAGAGTAAGAATACTAAGTGATCTGCGAGAGCTTGCTTCAGCTGAAAGTCTTGATACATTCACACTTGTATACACAAATATCTTAGAACATCAACCAGACTGCCCGGTAAGACTACTAATTTGTTTGATTGTTTCCCAAAACCTTATCTTTTTTAAAATGGGGAAGAGCTATTCTTGTATAACTGAAATCTCACTGATTCTGCTAATTTTATCCACCATTTCTACGTTGTTTATGAAACTGTATCGTTTCTCTGTGCAGGCTGATGTGGTTGAGAAGCTTGTAAGCTTGCGAGAAGGCATACCAAGGAAAGATGCTAAAGAGGCAAGTCTACCTTGTCATTTCCTAGTGTACACGTCAAATATTAGCAGAAATATGAACCCGGTTTTTTCGGGAACAATGAAACCAAATATGCCTTCTGTTGTGTTGCAGCTAGACTGTATATATTTGATTTAAATAGCTCTTACAACTTTACAAGCATTAATTTTATCTTATATATTCTGAAGAGTCATCAAGTTATCAGTGGTTCGTCAAAACCTTACAAAAAAAAAAAAAAAAAAAAAAAAAAAATAAAATCCCTTCCAAGATTAAGTGAGGTTCCCTTTTAAATCAAAATGTTACATCAGTTCAAGTATGATTACATGTGCTATTGCATCTATAGTACCAGAAATATCAATGAACTTGTTTATTATAAAGGTCTGGATTTCATTTTTAACTTCTACTGTCTGTCTCTTAGTTCAAGACACTACTGATGGAGAAAAGAATTTGTTGCAAAAGCCAACCTCTTGTGAAGTTTTCAGAGAGGGACTTCTGTCTCTCTAGTATCTATCTCTGGTGTTTCAGAAAGTTTGATAGACAGAAATAGTGTTTACTAGTCTGCATAGGAATTTGAAATAATCACAAAAACCCTGTTTATTTGCAGTTCAAATGTCTAAAATTCACTTTTATTGTTCAGGTTGTACAAGAATGCAAAGAAATTTACGAGAATTCATTCGTTGGTGGAAACCCTCCTAAGGCTGGGTTTGTTTTCTCCAGAGTTAAGTGCCTACAAGCATCAAAGGGCTCCATATGGCGCAAACTAACATAGGACTTAACTGCATAGCTGGTTTAGAATGTGGATGTTTGCATCCAGATTACGTAGCTGTTTTCAATAGGTTGTCAATTTGTCATTATTCTTTCTTATGAAATTCCCCTCTTTCGTATCTTTCACCCTCCCCATTTTTATAAGTAATTTCTCATTTTTTGAGGTTGTATTATAGGTTAAGTGTTCATGTTATTCGTTTTAAGTTACAGGTCAACAATAAGAGACAAAATTAAATTAGCTTCTGTTTGTAAAGAATTTATTATTGTTCATCTTAATTTTGTTGTACTATATTGACTATTGCTAATTCTATGATAAATTAATACTTCATTATTTTTTGGAGTTAAGAATAAGACAGGGTTGTCTGATTTTTCACCATTTGAGTACTTTTATTTTTATTTCTTTCTTTTTGCTTATAGTTTGAGTACTAATTAAGTATGGCTCAAAACATAGTCCCTTAGGTTAGAAAACATAGGTCCTTGGGTAACCTTTGGGTTTACATTAAAAAGGAAGCTTTTGACATTCAACATTTTTGCATTTTTTTTTATTATTTTTTATAGGATAATAATAATAATAATAATAATAATAATAATAATAATAATAATAATAATAATAATAATAATAATAATAATAATAATATAATAGTTGTTGTTGTGGTTGTGGTTGTGGTTGTGGTTGTGGTTGTGGTTGTTGTTGTGGTGGTTGTTGTTGTGGTTGTTGTTGTGGTGGTTGTTGTTGTGGTGGTTGTTGTGGTGGTTGTTGTTGTTGTGGTTGTTGTTGTGGTTGTTGTTGTGGTTGTTGTTGTTGTTGTTGGTTGTTTTTGTTGTGGTTGTTGTTGTTGTTGTTGTTGTTGTGGTTGTTGTGGTTGTGGTTGTTGTGGTTGTGGTTGTTGTTGTTGTTGTGGTTGTGGTTGTGGTTGTGGTTGTGGTTGTTGTTGTTATATCTCAAAAACAAAAGTCATACAACCTACAATAGATTAGTGGGAAGCCGAGATACAATCTGGGCCCCCACTCCTCTAGAAATAGCAAAGTCTATCCTAGTAAAAATATGAGCTGCATCACTTGCTCCAATGTCTTGCGTCGTCGAGAATCTCATTGTAAAGATTGATTCTTCTAGTGAAAATTTTTTCCTTGAGGGTTTTAATTTAAGATGTGGTTTATGTTAGCTGATGCTTGTCATGTAAAAATTGGCTTGATTGTTGCATTGGGTTTTTCAGTTTTTATTTTTTTATATTTTATTTTTTTTAAATGAGGGTACATTTTGATGAATGTTGATGATTGAAGACGTTTGCTACAATGAGTATTGATCTAGTTTATCCAAGCTGGCAAACTATTTTACAATGAATTTGTATTTTTAGAAAAATAAATAAATAAATGATAGGAAATTTCTGTATCTGGGTTACTGAGATTATTGGTCAGAGGGTGTTCATATGGTGATGACCATGATGATATTCTTGCTAAAATCAATGGGTTTTCTGGGGCGTGGACAATTGAGTTTCTCGTAAAGTTTTTGTGCCAATTTGCATAATGCAGCGTTCTAATACATGTACGGTTCGTTTCGCGGTGGTAATGGGAATAATTTTATATGTAAATGTGCTATAACCCATAAAATCATCTTGAGAGTGAGGGATAACTCAAGTGGTTAGAGCTCTCTTCCCGATTTCAAGTGATCTTGGGATCAATTTTTATCATCCGTCTTTGTGGCTCTCCAAACCCCAATAAAACTCATGAAATCATCTCCGTTGTTGCTGTGTATTATTACATAGGAAATGACCATACAACGGTTGTTATGAGTGTAGGTTCATCACAATTGGGGATTGATGAAAACGTGGCTTATAGGAATAAGTCAGGGTGGCTTAAATGGAGAGCGGCTATGGAAGTGTTATGTGTTTGAAACATTCCCTTACAGTTGAAGGGGAAATTATACAAGACTGCCACAACATCACTGTTGCTCTATGGTATAGAATGTTGGGATTCTAAGAAGCAGCACATTAGAAAGATGGAGGTTACAGAAATGCACATGATAAGGTGGATGTGCGGATCACTCTAACAGATAGAGTCAGAAATAAGGTTATTCACAAGAAAGTATGGGTCGTAGGCATTATAAACGAACTAAGGTAAAATATCCTGCATTGGTTTGGACATATAAGACGAAGACCCGAGGTGCACTAGTACGAAAAGTGGAAGAGTGAGACCATGGATGGGTTAAACAAGGGAGAGGGAGACCGTAAATAACTTGGTTGGGAGGAGCTAGAAGGATATGAAGCATATGGATTTGCATGAGGATGAGACCAGGTATTAGATCGTAAGGGATGGAGATTTTGATAGTGTTATTGATTTTAGAAATATAAAATATTGCATCTTCTGTTTGACTTAGTTTGATTAAATTGGTAAGTAAGATCCTGTTCTCATCAGATTATTTTCATTTTAGTTCTGTTCAGCTCCTAATTTCCTTCTCTCGTAAAATATTCATTTCATTTCAGTTCTGTCCAGTTCAGTTATGTCAATGAGAAAAGGCCCTAAGTCAATGTGATCAACATGGTGAATTTTGTATTAAAATAACTTAGGGAGGTTTTGCCAATTCTTATTGATTAAGACATATATGTGATGTTGGTTCTTCTACTCTTAATGTCATATTGTTAGTTGACACATTTCTAAATTAGTGTTAGGGTTGGGAATTAGTGTTCGAGGTTTTGTTTAGAGTTAGAGTTAGGGTTAGGGTTTACTGTTTAAGATTAATAACGATATGATGTCATGTTTTATAATTGAACATTGTCATTTTAGGCAATTATTATGAGATATAATTGATTATAATCTCATTTGAATTCAACGATGTTATGAAATATAACAATAACTGCAATATCCACAAATCTTTAACTTAATTTCCTATTCTCAAAACCGCAAAATGATAACAAAAGCAAGTCCGATTTATGTGCTTATAATTTTTATGCAAATATTACATTAAAGGATAGTCCTTAAAATAACATTTCCAATGATATATCATAAGCCCAATTTTGATTTAAATCATAGGAGATAAGATCAAAATACTAAACCCGGTCTAAAACCTACACCCTTGCACTATTTTGGCCATATCTTAATATCTAGAAATGATATTGGCCTGATTCTAATTGCGTTAAAAATTAGATTTTCATAACTTTTCAACAATATATTATTTGTCTTAATCAAAGTACGGGATCAAATATGTAAAAAAAAAAAAGAAGCAAAAAACAGGAAAAACAAACGAATTCTTGATGTTGGAACTCCACCAAAAAAAAAAAAAAAAAAAACTACTTAAACTCCGGAGATGACCTTGCCTCGTCTTGTGGTACACTACTACAAAAATGCTCAAAGAGATCTCATATGACAGATTTATTAATTAAATATATATTAGGTCTCTTTGTTTACAGAAACCCAATATTTCAAATAATGGGGCTCTTAGAGCATCCACATTCATTGGAAATTAGGGTCCCCATTTGACAAAAAGAAAATGGGGACTTTCCCACCAATGTTACTACTTTCCGAGCTTGTCTAAAGGGAGGTTTAATATGCATGAACAAATGCATATCAAGGGACAATTCTGTAAATTTGCATGCTTTAGTGGAAATCCTCATCATTTCCCGTTATGCTTTTTGTCAGCCCGTTTCCAGAATTATGTCATATTTCTTAATCGTATTTGGGAGAAATGTACAACTTGTCTTCTTCTTTGGTCACATGCAAATCTCACTCTCTCTCTACCATTTGAAATGTACCCTTCTCTTTGTCTTCCCTCTATATTAATTCAAACTCTTTCTCTATCTTCCATTAATTATTCTCTCTCAATTCCTTCTACATCGACCATCTTTCTGAAGTTGTCTCTCTATATTCCCTCTATCTCCATAGTCGTTTCGGTTCGTGGAGAATCGATGCTTTGTTTCTAGGTTTGCCGCTTGGAGAATTGAAACCCTCTAGGCAAGTTATCGTGAAGATTTTGACAAAAGTAAGTAAATTCTTCATAAATTTATAATTTTCCCCAAATTAATCATATAATTTTAGTATAAGAAGTTTCTTAAACTTAATTTCAATGTAATCGTTTGACCCAAATTGAGTTAGGGTTTGTAAAATGTAGATGTATTAGGGTTTAACGCGGGGGCTGAAATCCTCCGTATTTTTAAATATGTTATAAATGAAATTTAATTTTATTTATAATATTGATTTGTATTTTTCCGTAATCTAATTTCAAAAGATTCAAATTATTAATTTGATTTGAAAATTATTTTAGTACAAATTATTTTATGAACCTTCATTCTATAATTTATTTCAATACAACTAAAACTTAGTCCATTTCATTCATTTGACCCAAGAGGCCCAATCTTTCCACTTACCCTAAGGTGTTCATATCCGGGTACCCGGGTTTTCGGGTACCCAAAAATTCGGGTACCCGGATCTTCGGGTAGTTTGATACTCGGCCCATGTCCCGACCCGAGAAGACCGGATACCCGGGTTTCAGGTACCCGCTTTTCTCGGGTCGGGTCATAGGGTACCTGGATGTCCGAATTAGATATGACAGTTTTCCAGATTAAAATGTGAAAAAATTATAAACAAAGTAACAATCTACTGCCCAAACTTCACACAATTAGAAGAAGTTAAGAACAACAAAAATTACATACAATTGGAAGAAGTCAAGTACAACTAAATTAGATCTTTTAGATGTATTAAACATTAAATAAAAAAAAAAAAAAGAAACCCAAATTTTTGTTATTACTCCGTAGCTTACATCATTTACCAACACCAACCATCATCATCAACAGCAACTATTATACACCATCTTCCTCCATTAATTCACACCCAGAAATTGAAGACCCACTATCAAGGAGTATCAACCACCATGGCCAAGCCACCTTTAATTTCTTTGATTATAACCCATAAAATGAAGACCCCTTCACAAAATCGAACTACCTACCTCCACCATTACGAGATCTACTGAAGAATATAGCGCAAGTTAGAGATAAAGACATTGAAGAATTACAAATGAATATATAGAGATTAGAGATTAAGAGGATAACTAGAGAAAGAGAGAGGTATAGATGGAGATTAGAGGAAAACCAAAGAAAGAAAGAGAGGAGAGGAAAACGATTGTGTAGAGGATAAAGTTTGAAAAGACAATTAACTATAAAACCCTAACAAGTAAAAACTAAAGATTCCAGAAGGAAAAAAAAAAGACTTAACGGGTATTTCGGGTACCCGCGAGCTACATAGATCGGCCCATGACCCGACCCGACAGCAACATAGGTTTCCCGGGTCGGGTACCCGACCCGAAAATTGATAAGTTTTTTAAAAATACCCGGCTATTTTACA